CAGCTACACCATTTTGTTGAGGTGTATAAGTACAAGAAGTTTGATGCAATATACCATGAGAAACCATGAATTGTTTAAAAGAATGAGAAAGATATTCACGACCATTATCACTGCACAAAACTCTAATAGAAACACCGAACTGGGTTTGAATTTCATTGAAAAAAGTTTGAAATTCAGAACGATTTTTCATCAAAAATAATCAAGTGCATCTGGAATAATCATCAATGAAAGTAACAAAGTATTGAAAACCTAAAGTAGACTTAACGCGGCTAGGTCCCCAAATGTCAGAGTGAACCACGACAAAAGGGGACGAAGCACCACGTGTGACACTACGAGGAAAGGAAGTACGACTATGCTTGCCTAATTGACACGACTCACATGCCAAACTAGACAATTTAGATAAGGCAGAGACAAGTTGTTGTAACTTGGCAAGACTTGGATGACCTAACTGAGCATGGAGAAGAAAGGGAGACTCTATAACTGCACCAACATGTGTAAAGGGACGAAGATGATAAAGACCATGAGACTCACATCCTGTGTCAATTACCTGTTTCGAACTCCAGTCCTGTAAACACACAAAATTGTTGGTAAAAGAAACAACACAATCAAGAGAACGAGTTAGACGACTGATGGATAATAGGTTAAAATGAGACCCAGGGACATAAAGAACATTATCAATGGTTAAAGAAGGGAAAAGTTTAACAGTTCTAACACCATGAGATGATACTCTAGAGCCATCAACTAGTGTAACAAAAGGTAAAGGATCAGGAGAGGATAAAGAGGAGAACAAAGATTTGTTACCAGTAATATGATTAGTGGCTCCTGAATCAAAAACCCAAGGACCAGAAGAAGATTGGGTCAGACCAGCAAAAGATGTACCTGTGTGTGCGACAGACACAGTAGAACTAGAAGACTGTTGATCCTTATACCATTTGAGAAATTTGTTGAACATAGCAGGTGTGTCTGATGAAATAGAAGAAGGAGGATCCTTAGTAGATAAAGGTGGGAAAAGATCAGTTTGAGCAACTGCAACAGATCGAGTAGGACGACCATGTAATGCATAACACTTGTCAATCTTATGACCTAGTTTTCCACAATGTTCACACTCATGTAATGCATAACACTGGTCAATCTTGTGACCTAGCTTGCCACAATGTTCACACTTAGGACGCCCTTTTCCCTGTTTGCAAGGGCGAGTTCGATCATCACGGTGAGATACCAATGCAGAAGAATCATTAACAGAAGCAGGTGTGTCAGGGTTGGGTTGGGTTTTGCTGGTATACGCAAAAGAGTGGAGTATGTCGATGTCAAGGTGGGGACAACGGGAGAACCCAAAATCTGATCACGAATATGTGAATATTGATCAGCAAGTCCCTGTAATGCCCCTAGCATGAAGAACTTTGATCGTTGTCCTATCTCGGTGGCAGGGTCGGGGGAAGGAGGCAATAACTCATTGAACTCATGAAAAAGAGCATGAATTTTGCCCATATAATCAGTCATAGAATCTTGATGTTTAGAGGCAATAACATCTACAAATTTAGAACAGATATCATAGAGACGTTGAGTATCATTGGTGTATAATAACTTGGCATGTTCCCAGATTTTGGCACATGTTTCGTAGGAACGAAAAATTTATTTTAACGAAGGATCAAGAGTACCCTTGAGAACCACGCATAATTGAGCATCAATGGTGTCCCAACTGTCTTCCTCACCAGGAGTGCGAGTAGGTGCTTTCGGGGCAAGATGATCAAGATACTTCTGACTCTTAAGCCATAATCTGACGTCTGATGACCATGTGACATAATTAGAGCCAGTTAAGTTGTCAATGGATAAGTGCACATTAACATAGTTAGTGTAGATGGAAGGATCAGACGCAGTACTGACAGAATTGAAAGTACTAAAAGGAGCGGAAAAACTCATAAAGGGCGGAGGCGATAGTGACAGCGGCATGAACCAGTACACCAGGTAAGTTCCCAGGAAAGAGAGGTGGGTCACTAATGGACACACTTAAATACCAAGTCTTTCCTTGTCAAAACTTTCCTAGACATGCACTTTCACACTACCAAATAACCGACAGCGATAGCAGCGATGGTGGCGGCTTCAATAGTGGTCAAAGGCGAAAAAAAAATTCAAAATAACCTTAAGCTCTAGATACCATGTTGAATATAGAAGAAATAGAGTTTGAGATTAATCTCCCTTATGTATAAATCACATATAGGGTAGTCTATTTATAATAGAGAAATACAACTAAAAGAATAACTGAAAGTAACAGAATAAACAAAAATATTATTTGATATTATGGTTAATATCTAACAATATCTTAATAATATTAAATAATATCTAAACAATATCTAACATATTACTTATTTTTCATAACTATAAAATCTTATGAGATAAAATCTTAAATTATATAATTCATATATTTTTTAGTATCATTCAATTATTGCACTATTAATTGATCATCTATATGTAAGTTTGTGATTGAATTATAATATAAAAATATACTATAAAACATTATCTGCCATGCATGTAATTTAAATTTATTATTTATCTGGGTTTTTAAGGTCTTATAATATCACACAAATATCAAGACTTGTCATAAAAAAATTAATTCAAAAAATTATAAAGTGAGTACTTGATTTAATTTTGGATGTCTTATCATAATATAAACTATTCTACTTCAAATATTTGTTTGATTAATCACTTTCGTTCAAAACATACACAAATTAACACAAATTTATTATTTATAATATAGGTTCAATTATGTTTTTATTCTTAAAATTCAAGGTAATTTTTATTTTGATCCCCATTTTTTTTTAAATAGTCCCTTACAAATGAAAAGAAAAACTTTTGTTATTAAAATGTGTTATTTCATTAAATTTTATAGAGAGTAAATATATATTTTATTAAATTTTAAAGAATAAAATGATTTTTTTATTTGAAGAAATTAAAAAAATATCTTACATTTTTAAGAATTAGAAACATGATTAAATCTAAAATTTATCAAGCAATATTACTAAACTATAAACCATAACATTAGGGATCGCTTAATATTGCATTTTATTATAATTCTATAATGATCTTCTTCCCCAAGATATCAATTTTATGAGATAAAATAAAATTGTCACAGATACTATTTCATAAAAACAATATTATCAATTTACTCATTCATCGTTTAGATTAAATCCATCACCTTTTAATAAAAAAAGAAAGAAAGAAAAAAATCTAAATTACTTATCATACTATGTAAGATAAAATAACCCAATGTAAGAACATTACTAAAATAGATAATCATTTTTAAGATCAAATAAAAACTTTTATGATTATAAAATTAAAAAATGAGAAAAAAATAATAAATTATCATTTATTTATGAATTTTTTTTATGAATGTCAAAATAGTTTAAAAAACATACTAATTCTAACAAATTATTACATCACATTTAGATTATTACTTAAATGAACTTAAATTATACTAGAATATAAATTTTACTCATTTTATAATAAAATAATAATTTTTTAAATAAAAATAAAAATAATATGATTTATTAAAACAAAAATATTTATATTATAAATTAATTTGATACGTAAATATCAAAATAATTTTTTATTTCAAAATATAATAATTAAAATTAATTACTATTTTAAATTAATAAATTATTAAAAATAAATAATAATAATAATAAAATAAATTTTAAATACTTATTTTAAAATTAAATAGATATATTATCTTATAATTTATATATTAAATTATTATATCTAAAATACAAATTAATTTTATTAAAACTTTAAATCTTCCAAATATATTTTTATTTAAATATTTTTTAATTAATTATATATATATATTAATATTTAAAAAATAATAATTAGATTAAAATTGATCCATTAATATTTTAGTCTAATATAAGATTTAACTAAGTTAAATTTTTTGACCCATCTTAAAATATAAGAATTTTTTTTATTAACTTTTATCTTACAGTTTTATAAAAAATATTATAAAAATAAAAATATTAATAAAAATAACAAATGATACAATATAATTAAATTATATACAGCTGTTTTTCTATTATACAAGTAATTAAGTGAACATAAAACGTTTTGTCTTGATAGCATGTTAATCCTTTTCAGATTCTGGATATGATAAAGAAGTATTTAAAGTAAGAAATAACACTGATCTTCCAAAAAATAGAATATTAGTTATTAAGAGATAGTTTCCTTATCGGTAAGATTGCTCTATCCTCATAATTACACCTACCACGTAATTACAAGCTAATTTTAGTTTTAACTAATTGAACTAATCCATTTAAGAGTTTAATCAGATAACTTTGAAATGTTTAATATAAATAATTTACGCTTTTTATGTAAATGAATGAGATTTGTTGTATTTACCCTACAATGTGGAAAGAAAAATAATTAACCAAAACCCTAAACAATTAACCTTTCAACCAGATCATGATCATTATCATTGTGTCTCCCTCGTTGGACAAATAACCAAGGCAATTTACCAAAAAGCCCCAAAAGCAATCTCCACCACCACCACCACCAAACAATTACTACCTACCATACCATGTGGCTTACTCCTCTATATTGCTAGCCATTGCTCTCTTCTTCCCCTCAGTAACAACTCTCATAAGATCTGATCAAACCATCACATTCTGTTTAACTTTACTGCATCACCCTTTCCTTTTTTTCTCTCAAGAAACACACACAACACAAAAGTACAAAACCACTGACTCCCTCTCTTTCTCTCTTATCAGAATCCAATCTCTCGCTTCTGCATCTCTCCTCCTACCCTTTCTCTTATCTTCCCAAGCCCACCAAAAAAGAATCAATTTTTTAATCCCCTGAAGAAAAATAAAAAAACCCCTTTCCCCCCCCCCTCAATCAACGCAACACGCTTAAATAACTACCCTTATTTCTTCTCACTTTCTCCCCATATCACGCGCGCACTCCTCCTCCTCATAAAGTCTTAACCTTTGGCGGAATCGGAATCGGTGATCTAGATGGGCCTAATCAGAAGCATGAGATCGAGGTCGCATCGCGTGGTGCAGGAGCAAGAAGAGTGTGTCGGCGACAGCATGAGACAGAGTTGTTGGGCCAACATGCCCCAAGAGCTTCTCCGAGAGGTTCTCCTCCGAATCGAGGCATCCGAGGACACGTGGCCGCCTCGGAAGAGCGTCGTCGCCTGCGCCGGCGTGTGTCGCAGCTGGAGACAAATCACCAAAGACATTGTCAAAACACCCGAACTTTCCTCCAAAATCACCTTCCCCATTTCTGTTAAACAGGTTTCTCCACCACCGTTTTCCATTTTTCTTCTTCCTTTGCCTTCAATTTTCTTTTCCTCAAAATTCAATTTTTGTTTTATGCACTGTACAGGGTTTCACACAATTAGTTAAACAGAGATCGTAGTTGATACCAATTTTTTTAAGATTGTTTTTAACTGTTCACCATTTTTATATTTCAATCTTTATATCTAGAACTTATTTTAATCTTCATGTGTACTTCTAATTTTGTTTTGGTTCCTGAAGTCAAGTGTGTATTAACTCTGTTAACCCAAACAGAAATTGGGATTGTCAATGGCTGGCGTGCATAATTGCCAGAAATAGTCTCTCTAGCAACAGATTTTTGGCATTCAAACTGTTGAAAAATTTCTGACAGTTTTACTTAACAGATTTAGGTCACAGTTGAAGGAAGGAATCAAAACAAAATTGAGATGTGATTGGATGACATAAGAATCAGATGAGTTACATGTATGTGATTGGATGGCATTAAGATAGTTATTACAAAAGTTAATAAACTAACCATAAAATGTTTGTGTGCAAGTGCATGTAGCACTATCTACTTATTTTTCAATTAAACATATATTACTTTTTTTTTTTGAGTTGGGTGAGTATTTTGTATTTTTTAGGGTTGGGATTATTTTATTGATTGGGTTTGGTATGAAATGATTCCTCATATTAGCATGATTGTTTGATCGAGTGCAACGAGGTTCTCTTGTGTGACCTACTCTTTGTTTTCTTTCTTCCTAACATTGGTTTTTGTGAAAATTGATTACGATATTCTTGGCTCGATGGTGTCATGAGTTGTGCTTCGATTGTTTTATGGTTGAAAAAGAAAAATATTGATGCTGCGGTTACCCCGCCTGTAGCGTGAAGGCAAGGGTGAAGGTAACTGTGTGCTGATGGGTAGAGTTGAAGTAATGAACTCATTTTTTTGGGTCTTTCACTTTCATCGTGTGACTCTATTAAATATTATTAACTTTCTTTGTTTGGGATATTAATAAGCTGGGTCGTGCATTGCTTCTTCCTTATCTTTTTCTATGACGTATACGGATATAGTGCATGAATTTAAATATTCTGAACCTCATCTGTTTGTATTAACATTGTTGTAATTTTTTAATGCCTTTTATCTGTCCTTTTAATTATCATGATATTTCATATGCTATTGCTTTTCTCTTCTTTTTCCATAAGAGTAGCTGAGGAAGAGTATGTTAAAATTTTAACTAATAAATATAACTGTAATTTTAACTCGAGCCATGATGAATTGTTTTTCACAGTTTCTGTTTTTCGTGATTTTAAACATTATCTCCTGGGAAAAAGAAAATGCTAAATTCCTGCTTATCCTGTATAAAATCCCTCTAATGTTATTTTTATTCCTTGGGCAAAATTGTGATGTTGGTTGGTCCATCGTATTTGTGGATATTTTGAGCATAATACTAGATACTCTTTTTTGCCCTTCCATCACTGGGATTGAATGTTCTATATCACTACCTTGGAGGCTGGGACCACTATATAGTGATGTCAATTTTTTTAATTATAATGAAGTTTACATGGGCATTTGCTCATTAATATCTTCCACAACATTTTAAAAGGACCACTGGGTCCATAGTGTTGCTCGATCCTAACACATAGTGCATCCTACATTAAGCCTTATTTTCATATGCTGCCAAGTTATTCTAATTTAGTTGGGATGTATTGTTTTTTTGGTTGGGTAGTGGCCTTTGTTATATAATATACTGAGCCAAAAGGTTAAAGTATAGGTCCCCCTTTTGATTTGAGTGGGTAACTAGAAGATGTCTCTTTGGTGTGGAACCTTCTGATTGGATTTTACTTCCCTGCTTTTCATGGTATTGCTCTAAAGATTCCCTTGTTTGTAGGAAAGGCATGATGCTTGAATGTGACTATTGTGCTTGTCTTTTATTACTTAGTAGTTCATTGTATTGTTTTCCTCCTCTTGTCATTAACATGTTTTTATCATTGTGTAATTTTGACAGCCTGGCCCAAGGGAGAATCTCCTCCGATGCTTTATAAAGCGCAACCGGTCCACCCAAACATACTATTTGTTTCTCAGTTTAACCAGTAGTGAGTATATAATAAAACTTGTGGTTGAATCTTCTTGTAAAAACTTTAGTTTCTTTGTTTTCCACCATTCTTTAGCTTCTAATCCTAAGAGAGTGTGTTCTGCAATTCAGCACTAGCTGAAGATGGGAAGTTTCTTCTGGCTGCACGCAAATGCAGACGACCAACATGCACAGATTATATCATCTCTCTTGATGCAGATGATATGTCAAAGGGAAGCAACTCCTATGTTGGGAAACTAAGGTGGGATGCTAATTGGCACTGTGGGCATTGTTTGTTGTCTTGTTTATTAGTGCATAGACTTACAACTTTTTCTTACCCTTTCTAACCAGGTCAAATTTTCTTGGAACAAAGTTCACAATCTATGACAGCCAGCCACCCCATTCAGGGGCAAGGATTATGAAAAGTCACTCCACAAGGCTGGTCAATCTAAAACAAGTTTCGCCAAAGGTTCCTACAGGCAACTATCCAGTGGCCCATATCTCATATGAATTGAATGTGCTTGGCTCACGGTAAGCTTTACATATTGCAATTGTAAGCAGATATTCGAGCATGAAATTAACTTATAGTTCATAGTTGTTATACTTATTTTCATAAATTTTTACCTTCCATTCAGAGTTTACTTTGGTGGACAATGATGCTTTGACTTTGAGTAGGCAAAATGTTTGCTGAAAATATATTTGCTAACTATGGACTCTCTTTATATTCTTACCATGCGATACTTACAATCTGTATATCCTAAGCAGGGGGCCTAGGAGAATGCATTGTGTCATGGATTCTATTCCTGCTTCTGCAATTGAAGCTGGAGGGGTAGCCCCTACTCAGACCGAGTTTTCTCTTAACAACATAGATATGTTTCCTTCATTCCATTTTTTCCGATCAAAATCAAATCGTGTGGAAAACACTGTGTCTGGACCCCTGGTTGGTCAAAAGGATGGGATGCTTGTGTTGAGAAACAAGTCTCCTAGGTGGCATGAGCAACTTCAGTGTTGGTGCTTAAACTTTCATGGACGGGTGACTATTGCCTCGGTGAAAAACTTTCAGCTGGTTGCTTCTGCAGAAAATGGACATGCTGGACCAGAGCATGATAAGATTATCCTCCAATTTGGAAAAGTTGGGAAGGATTTGTTTACAATGGATTACCGGTACCCTATTTCAGCATTTCAGGCATTTGCCATGTGCCTCAGCAGCTTTGATACCAAGATTGCTTGTGAATGACATGTTTATAAACAGGTATTCATTTGACAGTTCAATATTCTAGAATTTGACTTTAGCTGGGGCAAAACATTGATCGATAAAAAGCTATTTAAGTGGTCTTTATAGTATTTCCATTGGTAGATCACCGAGCAAGTAACGAATTTCCAAAAGCTCGTGATAAGGAATCAAGTAATTGGAAATATTCAATGAAAATACAATATTGACATCACATTAGGGACTTTCAAAACATTTATTTTAATCCTTACCACGTTTTGCCTATTGTTTTTGTCGAGGTGGTGGCAGCTTCATAGCTTATACCCTGTTTCTATTATTTAATAATGATTTCCTCATTTACATGACCATCCTTCGAAAATTGTTACTCCTCATACTTGAAAACCTCATTAGTTATTCTATCTATCTAGCATATTGACAGATATATCAACTACAATTTTCTGGCTAGTGCTTGGCTCCATTTGTTGTTTCTTCAGTTTGCCAATTGACCATGTTCTTTTCTTGTTTATGCCAGCTTCAATCCAGATTATATAGCTATCTCTCTTACTTCTGGGAGAAGTATGGTTTGAATGTCACTTGTTGAGAAGCAGACAGACGAAAAATTTCCGCAAGGTAAGATTGGTTGGAAGGGTGTTGAACTGAATTTTAAAATACCATTCAGTTTCTGGGATCACAATTCACCAGCTCTTCATGAAATTGGAATGTTATTTGAAACTCCTCCACTCTCACCCAACACAACACAAAGGCTAAAGGGGAAAATTACTTTTCTTCAGTCTCCAGTGTACATAAATGATAATTCTAATATTTTTAGTCTATCAGCAACGTTTGGTTTTTTATGGTCATATAGTAGGGGTTGTTTAAAACATGTCCCTCACAAGACATGTTTTATTAATGGGACTACTATCTAGCTTTCAATTTATCCTTTCATCAGAACATGTTGTGTTAGTTGGACTACTTGCAAGAATACAAATTCAAGCAACTTGTTACGTGCAACTCCTTTCCTTCCGTAATCCACTCTTAACGTGCTCTGTCCAAAATAGTAGTAACACTGTTCGCATAGTGCATCTTTTTCTCTGTAAATGATCCTTGAGCGCAATTCACCCAACCAAATACTATCTTTTTCAATTTCTATTTCAAAAACAAGACATATTATTGTGAAAACTCATTTATAAAATACTTTTTAATTAAAGTTTAACTTGTTTATACAAATTATGGAATAAAGGTATTATAAGCAACTGAAAAAAATTAAAAGGAGCAAAAACAATAATTTTAGAATATGTATGGTAAAATTAAAATTAAGATACATTATTGAGTTACAAAATATACTTACAATTAACACAAGTAAAAGTGCATGCATTCTTTATCATTGATTAAAAAAAACTATAATTGCAAGTTATTCTGTAAAATTTATCTTATTTTAGAGTAATCAAATTCTAACTCATTTTAACCCAAAAAGATTGATCTATATATATATATAGTGTGTGTGTGTGTGTGTGCGCTATAATAATAAATTTAAGTGAAATAAGATTTTGTCTTACATGACACGGATATATGTGTTCTTTGATCCAAAAAGTTCTGCTTGATAGGAGGGCAGGACACCATTTCATACTCCTAAAATTTTAAGTATCAAAAGATCCAAAATAATTTCAAGAAAAGAAAAATCTTTAAGTTCATCTCTTAACTTCTGTTTATTTTGCTTCAAAAATCTTCTCAACTAAATTTTCTTCCTTAAATATTTACACGTAATCTAAAAAGATTTTTTTTCCCATTTAGCATTATTTTAAAATAAATTTTTATATATACCATACTGTATGTAATATTTACATGAATAGCACATTTTTATAAAAAGTCAAACATTTCAAGATTTTTTTCATCACTAGTATCTTATTAAATTTAAATTTATAATCCAAAAATAACATCATTCTATCAATATTTACCTGACTAATACAGTTGGAATTCGATTCTTAAGAGGTCGAATTTCAACCTCACTAATTAATATAATTTTAAAAATAAAATAATATTTATTAAATATAATAATTAAATATATATATATATATATATATTTTATATAAAAAATATATATAAATATTATATATATATATATTCTTTTAATTATTTATATAATTATATTATTAATATATTTTTATAAATATAGTAAAAATAAATATATTTAATATATATAATATTTAAATATTTATTTATATTTTTATAAATATAATAAAATTTAATAAATATATATTTATATCTTTCTATGTAACATTTTTACATAAATAAAGTATATATATTATTTAAATATATTTTTAATATAAAATAATTTTAATAAGTAAAAATAATATATTTTTATAGAAATATATAAATATTTTTATTATATTTTTACTATATTTATAAAAATATATTAATAATATAATTATATAAATATATTTTTATGTTATTTAAAAAAATATATTTATATTTATTTCATATAATTATATAAATAAATTAAAAAAAATATATATATATTATATTTATATATTTATTTTACATAAAATATATATATATATTTATATTTAATTATTATATTTAATAAATATTATTTTATTTTAAAAATTATATTAATTAATGAGATCGACTTAAAAATGATATTAATTAAATAAATATTAATAAAATAATGTTATTTTTGAATTATAAATTTAATAGTGATCTTATTTTTGAATTATAAATTTAATATCACGAAGAAAAAAAATCTACAAGACTCAATAATTTGATTTCAATCAACTGGACATGCAACAAAGAAACTCGTGTACGGCAGAAGAAATCCCAAATGTTGAGGAGGCTTATTGAAACACAGCAATATTAGCTCTGCAATTGTTTTGCTTTCATGAACGCTATGCCCGCAAGTACTGAAACGCCTTCCCAGGCAGCAATGCAACACAATTTTTGTGATCCTCTTGGTGCAGCTAGTTGGTGTGTTATATCAAGGGACACTATTATAAAAGGTATCAACAATATCCCTAATGCAAAATGCTTAAATGAATTATTTATCTTAATTTATATCGTCTCACATTTAAATACTCTACACACAAAAATTTACATTACTGGGGTTCTTAAAGTGAATGTTTCACTCGAACATGTTAATTTTTTTTAATCTTAGCAACATTGCTTAAAAGATACCCCAAATTAAATTTGCTAAACAGAGTTTTTTAACTTTGACCATATCTAAGGAAATGACTATTGTTCGAAAAAAAAATGCTTTATATTTTGTTAAATATGAAGATATTTAATATCTTTCGCAATTATTATGTAGAATTCTAATCAACTGCTATTTTGAAATGAGATGTTAAAAACAAATGCTTATGAAGCTAGAGTAATATTGACCAGAAATGTGCACATAAGCACAAATGACAAAAAGGGTATATGCCACCCACCTTGGCTACATAATGAGGAATAAGTATAAGGTTTCTGTTTGAGGATAAAGCAGGAAAAGGGATCCTCATATTGTGCTTACAAATAACCTGTCCTCGATCTCATCCCGTGCACTGATGTAAGGGTATAACTAATTGTTATATACATGATTATCATACATTACAAATTTAAAACCATTAGGCTGCTTGCATGCTCACACTTGATTCATGGCTCAAAACCACGGATTCAGCACCTTCCTCCTCCTCTGTAGGCAGATCATCGGAATGCAGTTCTGGTTGCTTAAGGCTCCGGACAAACTCAGTGAACAAAGGAAAATGCTCTGGAGCAAAGAAAGATGCTCCCATTCTATGATATGTGAACAAGTCCAATACATTATCTCCAGATAGATACTTCTTAATTTGTTCAAACCCCCCTGGGACACCAGACTCGGAAGAATTTTGACCTGAAACCTTCACCTCATGATTTCTGCATGCTGTCATGATTTGAGCAAGTAGCAACTCAGGGCTAGAATGGTTTTCCTTAGGTTGTTTCGCATCAGAAAGGTCCATGCCCGGTAATATCATTTTGCATGAGTTCTTAGCAAACATCTGTGCAACTGGTTCATAGCCATCCCTGTTAGCCGTGTTATAGAACCCTGCGGTTAGCTCTGAAGGATGAGACCGAGTTCCGTACCAAGAGTGCATAAGTGGGATTTTCCCATATATTGTCACTCCAGAGTCACCAAAAGTAGAAGATGCCAATGAAAGGAGGCAATCTCCATGATTTATGAGCTGATTGGAATACCAGGATAGGAAGAAGTCCCCGTATGTGGACTCCCAAGAAGCCCCATCACTGAAGAAGCCATTGAAGTTTGGGGACTGGTCATAGGTAGGTGCATCATGTGGACCACCAAGCCCCCACAAAGGATTGCCTGATGCTTCAGCATGTTGCTTGAGAAAGCTAAGCATGTTTTGGTCATAACACTGGAACTCCCCAGCTCCTTGAGACTTACTAGGTAACTTATGGTGAGAAGGATAACGTAACTCGCCATCTGGTCCTAAACCCATGGAAATGCTCTGCAATATGGCAACAAATAATGAAATTGTCAATCATGTGTAGTTTGAAAGAGCATATATTGGCATACATCAATTGTCCTAGAATCCAAAATTTTACCGTAATCGTAGAGCCCATGAATGGAGAGAATGAAGACTTGAAGCTCTCACAGAAACTCTGGTACACTTGGACTGGTGTCCTTCCATCAAGAACAGGAAGATTATCAACTGCCAGGGACAGGCATTCTTTATAATGCTGTCCTGACTTATCTGTGAAGAAAATATTGGGTTGAGATTCACCAATCTGGGATACCCAATTAGGTAGGGGGATATTTGGTTTTTTAGACCCATGAAAGCAAAGAGACACATGGAGCTTGAGACCCACTTTCTGGACCATCTCAGCAATAGCAAGATAGCCTGACCAGTCATACTCTCCCATGGCCTCTTTCTCCACAATTCCCCACCAAATAGGGAGTTCAACACCTTCAACTCCTAAGAGCTTCAAAGCTTTTAGCCCAGCTGCAATTGCTCTAGCATGATTTATTGAATTGCAATCATAAGAAACTGCATCTAGGGGCAGCCCCACGAATAATCTAACACCATCTACCTGCAACATATTATTTTGAGCATGTCAGTTACTTTCTAATGCCTCCAACTTGACATTATATAACAAAATTAAGGGTATTTTTCTACCTAACATGTATCATAACTGCATTAAATTCGAATGAAATAGAATAATAAATTGTTACTTTGACAGACGCTGACTAGAATTTACTAATCCTCTAGCATGTTAGTCCCCTTCAGACACTATCCAAAGGAAAAATAAAATAAAATCATAGCTTCTTTAATTGTGATGATTAGGTTATGCATTATGCAGGAAATTTCCCAGGAAGAATGCTCAGGATCAGGATTTATTTTTACTAAAATCACCACTCCCAAAAAAAAAAAAAGAAAACCGCACAAATTCAAGGATTGACTTCATTATTTACCCCAACGATGTAAATGAACAAAATAATACAGAAATCACTGATCCTTTCATGTAATTTCAAGTCAATAGACACAAAGTTCCAAGTCAAACCAATTAAAAAAAAAATTATTAATTAATTAATTAACCGTTCCCTTCAGAATCAAATATGAACTAAAATCCACAATTTCCTCCATAGTCTCTCTTCGATCAAACACAACATAAAAACTCACCGTTGTGGATATTGCTCTAGGCCCAGAACGCTTGTTCTCCTCTCTAACGGGTTCAGTCTGAAGAGCCCTCAAAGTGAAGTTTATCCCAGCCTTCTTCCACCGTATGTTCTGAGCAAAACTAACTCTATTGTTCAAGACCCTGAAATTCTTCAAACTACAAAGGCCCACTTCCCTATATGGCAAATCAGAAGCTCCCAGCTTCGCTTGAGAGTTTCCAATCACCGAAACCTCCATAGCCAACAACAAGAAGAAAAAACCGTATTAATCAAACTAAAATACTCTCACCAAACGAATCCAAAATCCAATCCTTTTAGATACCCAGTTGAGGTTTCCAACAGATTTCGAGGAGAAAAAAGTGGGATTCAAGCAAAGGAAATTGAGGATGGCAAAAATAGTTAAGGGCAAGATGCCTATATAAGGAGGATGTGGAAGCTAAAACGCGCTTTTTCTTTTTCTTTCTTCTTTTGCCACCATTAAACCAAAGAAAACAAAACTTGCAAAACAATCGTGACACGTGTCCACGTGATAGGAGACCAAAGTAGAGCCGCATAATAGTATTGTTTATTTCTTTTATATATATAAAAAAAATTATCAAAATATTAAGGACCCCACGCCAATCATCTTCATGATTCATGAGTTTTTAATTCTTGTAAAGAATAAATAATTGCAAAGCAAAAAATATTAGTAAAAGAATAACAACATTAGGTAGGTTACCTTTTAAAATTGTTTTTCCTTGGTAATTATACATGAAGAAACAGGGTAAAATAATTAGCTTTTTCTTGGAGTTTTGATAAGATTTAAGGTTTGCATAAGGAAAAAGTATTCTTAGAAAGAACAGTTAGTATAGGCAATTAATAATCAATGAACTTCTTACAGAGATAATGTTAACATGTAAATAAAAAATATATACTAGAGATGATGTTTGGGACCGACACAAGGTTAGATTCGGCTCTGGTCACATAAACATGTTTCATCAGTTATCCAAAAACGAATTAATTATGTACGTACTTTTAACTGTTGAGTGAATATCATTGTCTTAATTAATGTGTGTTTTTGCAAAGAAAAAATGGCAAAAGGGAATTGGTTGGTTGAAAAGTAGGTTGTAAGCACACGAGATGGAGAATCACAGATTGAATGATAGGTTGTGGATTGGGATGAAACATGGGACGATGCTGCGTGTGTGCTGACTCATGTATCCAATTATGTATTATGGTCTCTGTGGTGTGGTTTGGAGCAAGTTGTGTGGGGTCTTGACTTCCAGAATCAGATTCAGTTCATTGGTCCCTGTTTCAGGATCTGCTTCTGGTTCTGCAGTTCTGGTTTTGGATCCCTCCTCTTCTGACTCGGATCAGAGTGGATAAGAGATAAATTGCTTTGCTTATGGACAAATCTTGCAAGCAGAGACAGCATTGTTTTATTGGTTGAATAAACATGTACCATGTAACATTACACATATGTTGTTCTGTTTCTTTATTTGTTCACATATATTTATTTATATATATTGTGACACAAGTTTAATGAAAATCTTTTACGTGGCCCTTGAAGCTTCCTCGTTACTCTCTTCATTTTGCATTATGAATGGATAAGGGATGAAAGCTTACTCTAGAAACTGCTCTTCATCACTAAAATGTGTATCATAAACGATGTTTATCAAAGATTTTATATAAATAAGTATAAAATATTATTAAGTTAATTTTAACAATGTAAAGATATTATTTTTAAATCACCGCTTCTCAATACGAAATATGCGAGTATACGTTAAAATGTGTTATTTATTAGAGATATAATATATAAGTAAATAAAAACTTTATTTTATTAATTTTTTTAATAAAAACAAATATTTTTAATATATATTAATAAAATTAATTAATTACATAAATTTTAGTAATTTTCATAAAATAAAATTTGATGGCGTAATTAAATATCAAACGTTATTTAAGTTTGAGTAATGTTATAGAAAATTATATTATTGAATTAAATAGTTAAAATTTATTGACATTGGCAAGATATATAATAAATAGTATTTGTTATTAGACTTTTATTGTCAATTAAAGTTTAAATTAATATCTTATATTCTCAAGTAGTAAAAAAGAATTCTAAATCAGTTGTCCTACCTCTTTGAATTTTTTTTATTGGGTTTGAAAGTAATACTTTGTAAAAAAATCCTATTTTGCTAAGATTTTTTTTGTCTTCTTCCCATTTATTTATCTATTTATTTTAATTTGAGGTATCATTTTGCAATTGAAATGATTTTTTAATAAAAGAAAGAAATATGTGATTTGAATTACGTCAAAGGTATTGCATTTTTGAAATTATTCTAAAATTTCTAAATTATTGCCACCTATAATAATAAAATAATTTATCTTTGTGAAATAGGTATAATAAAAAAAAAATATTAATGTGTTAGTCACACACAATTCTTACAAAAAATGTACACGCTTCATATAATTGGTGATAATTGATGAGAATTTTGTTTTTATTTGCCAAAAATATTGATGAGCGGTTTATTTTGTCGTCTTCTTCAGAATTTATGACTTTGCCATCAACAATTACTTTGAGCCGGAAAATTTGAATAGCTTCTTGTAATTTTGTGAATGCTGTATTGATCGAATCAAAACGATACATGTTTTTTTTTTAGTTTTTACTATATTATATTATATATGATCTCTTTTAAAATGTTAAAAAAAATATAAATATAATCTTTAATAAAAAAAAATTAAGAATATAAATAAATAAAAACTCTATTTTTTATATAGGGATATCAATATGTCTTTGATGATAACATTATTAATGTTATTTAATAATTTAAGATATGTATACTTTAAAAATTTAATATATCATAATTTTATTTTATTTTTAAATATTTATAAATTATTTTATATTAAATAAATTGACTTATTTTTTTCTTTCGTTTCATCCATGTGTCAGTAATATGGTTGTGTAAGGAAGACAAACTTTTCTTTCCTCTACCTAACTCGTACGCTCACATTTTAAATTTCTTTCCCCCTTTTTTTTTTAATACATCCAAAATGCTCGTCAATATTTTTATCCCTCATTTTCTCTTTATCAGAAGTTAAATAAAAGGAGACAAATCTATTTCATGGTCTTCAGATGGTCTTGTTATTAAAATCAATGTGGAATTAAATACTGTCTATAGTGTTTTTCTTTACATTTTTTTTACTATGAAAATATTAAACGTAAATTTTATTTATTCCCAGTAAATAAATACATTAATATTTATCGTCCAATAAATAAAATATAATAACTTCTAAAAAGAAAACATAATTTCAAAAGTTGATAATTTGAAGAAAAAGAAAATTACTTCTATAAATAATTGCAATATTAAGAATTACAACGAACTTGCATATTATATGATTAATTATGTTAAAAAAGTGGTTATTATCACACTCTTCTAGAAAGCATTTAAAAAAAATAGAATTAAATACTTCATATATAATTGTTTGTTTAAATAATATTTCTTTTATAAAAGAATTGTTGATTGTGTGAATTTGATTGATTCAGGGAAATAGGATAGAAGTTAAAATAATATTAAATAATTTACATAATAGGTATTATTATTTTGTTTCTTATCGTATAAGTGATGAGTGTGTCTGTGGCGTGTAGGACATATATGTGTGGAGCCCTAGAATTCAATTATTCAATAATTCATGTGAAGACCTTCACATGCTCATCATCAAAACGTGACTACACCATTACTTGCACCTTTCTACACATTTTTAGTTTATAATTATCCCAGCAAAAACCTTAATCACTCTATTTTTTTTTAATTTGATAATTTCTTAGGTTATATAAAAAGAGGAACTTAATATATGAAACATAATTTAAAATATTAGGTCACCACATTATATTAGTCCCGGCAAAACCTAAACTGTATTTATATTTATTTATTCTTTTACGAATGAGTGAAGAGGGATAGTGTTGTGGCTGAAATCTGGGAAAATGAGGATTTGAACCGTGTTAACAAGTAATTAATCTGATGAAAATTTTCAAATTAATTTTGACATGTTTAATCGTCTCATAAATAATATTTTTTTCCTCGTTATTTTCGCATCATACAAATATTTATTAAGGAGTTCATTCAATCAAACAGATAAAAAATCACATTTTCTCTCTTAATAAGGAGGTGAAGGTCCTGGTGGACCACCCGGAGCCCAATCAGGAACTGGTGGTGGGTCACCTGGGGGCCCAATTGGACCACCTAGAGGGTCAGGAGGCCAAAATGGCTGTGGTGGCGGAGGCAGAGGTGGAGGAGGCGGTGGAACTTGTGGTGGAGCCACTGGAACTGGTGGTGGTTCGGGTGGTGCACCAAAACAGTCTTGTAGCAACCAGCAACAGCATACTACATAGAAACTGTCAAAACACAAATTTAGAGCTATGGTGAATTTATATGTTTGATTTCTCTCTTTGCGTGCTTAACTTCCAAAAAAAATAGCAGCACTCGATTATTAATGGCTTCATTATCAAATAAGTTAATAATGAGATCCAAATGAAAGTGCAACATGATAGAGAGTTGAAAACGGAGTATCAAAGATCACATTGCTATTGTTTGTCTTAAAATTGTAAATAGAAGGAAAAGAAAAAGAAAGGTATATATGTTGTAATGTTAACTGTTATTTATGTAGTGTAGGTCTTAATGAAGAAAACATGTTACCAACCAAGAGGATATGGTACTGCAAAGTCCATTGAATAAGTTGCCAAGAACAGAAGGTGGTCCGGGCCATGAACCTGGATATCCTGGAGGCCCAGGTCCAGCAGGGGCTGGTGGTCTCATTCTTAGCTTTCTAGCTGAAGATCAACCAAACACACACCTATTTACAACTGTTGAGGATGCCACACACTTGTCCTAAAAGAAAAGGCAAGGCTAGTAGGATCTTAGACATTCAGCAATATATAGACACAACAAAATATTTTGGGAGGTTGTTGCCACGTGTTCTTAAAACACCTTGAAAAAAAAGTGGAATCTAACTGTCAAACTCAGACACAACTGTTATTCAACCTACCTTTTCTGTGTTGGGGGAAGGCATGGATAATAAATGGCATCAGACTTTGGCAATAAATGAAAAAAGCTTTTGGGTTCAGAAAAGTTAAGAGATGACCGTGATCATTGATCAAACTTGACATGGAAGGGTAGCTCAGCTCGTCCTAGACACGTTCCAGTGTCTCATCCCACACCAACTCAAATAGTGAGCAATGATTTGACCAAATGAACCCCACATAAAATGAAGGAGGTAGGATGATGTGTTGGGAAAAGGAAACTGATGATGGTGTAGACGATAGTCAACAGATTCTAGATAAATCCATTTCCGTTTATTAATATTGCGTAATTCAATCGAAAAAACCACTGGTAATGCATTTTTCATAGTATATAGCTCCAATTCAACATTGATTGTGCAGAGTTCAGAGACAACCATAGGCTTTGCTTCATATTTTTAAACATTGTATATTTAAAGGTCAATCCATCTTACACGAAGCTTGATCTCATGAAAAAAAAAAAAAAAAAAAACAGAAAAACTTTAGTAGACAATTAGTCTTCAAAAGGTAGAGAAAAATGATCTGAAGAAAATAGTTGATAAAATCACTATTGATTAACGCGCCTATATATAAAAGGCAAAAACTTTACCTTTCTTCCAACTAGAACCCAATCACATCTGGGGTTTTCTTCTCACTTAAACAAACCATGTAAGTATTTTTCTGAATGTGATTGATTTTTCTGATGCTTCTCCCCCAAAGCACAATCAACAAAATTGAAACATTTTCACTGATGCAACCAAGAACCATATCGGTATTCAATGTGAAATGACAGAATCACAATTCTTCTTTTAAGATAATCCACAAAAATTATAATAGGGAATGGTATAAAGAAATTAAAAATATAAAAGAAAGCTGTGTACAAGTACTGCACAGTTCACAGGCTTCGGTAAAGTAGAAAATAAATGAAGAAAAATGAGAGAAATATAAATTTCCAACTGTTCCAAAACCTATTTATTAGGTGTTCATCTAGCCTAATTGAACTTTGCAGTTCAAGAAGAAAAAAAAAAACGATATACAAGATAGAGAATTTATCATTTAAGAAAGAAATGGGAGCAGGGAAATACAATTTGATTTACCTCCAATGCCATTGGCTTTAGCAACTAGAGGGCAGACATCATGTCAGCAAGATTTGCAGTCCTAAAAAATGATTGGTGTTATACTACAAGAATATTTCTTTGAATCTTGACTCATTCTTGTTTTTTTGTCCTCCTTTGATGAATTTGATGGCCATCACTTGCCATGTTTCTTCTTTCTCCTTGGTGCGCCCACACCAGAAGGATCTACCAATGGGCCAGACCAGGTTTGTATATTTGCTTTAGGTTGTGAGAAGTTTGTGGAACTGAATGGAACATCAGGAGGATCAAAAACTGGATCCATGTGATGTGATGATCCCAGTGGATAGCCTAGAGCTCCATCTTGGTGGGGAGGAGGAAACTTCTCACTCTTGCTCTTTGCATTTGCATGTGTGATCAGTCGCCGCCTCTGCAGTAAGAGTTAAACATCAACACAGTTTTACATAATAGGGAAGCAGTGATATAACACAATTATCTTGAATAGCCCCAAAAATTCCAGGAGGTGCATATATTTCGAACACCAAGGCAGCCAAATGCCCAAAATCTAAAGGATTCCAGAAGATGGTGTCAGAACAGTTCAACCTGCCTGCACTTGATCAATGGCAGTTATGGCTGCTGGCATTAAACAGGAACACGAGGGAATATTGAGAGGGGCATATATAGTCATTAGAATATCTAAACCGAATTAAAGTAACTTTCTTTGCACACTAGTATTTTGCATATTACTACTAGTTTTCAGTTTTCACATGTTTAGGACTAAAGGGACAATGAAGCGTAAACTGCTGTCATGTTTGGAAATTTTCAAGCTCAGGCAAATGTAAGAAGAGTCAAGTCAAGTACTGAATTTTCTATTTTCAGCACTATTGGAGGCCCCTAAATGCAATTGAAGGTTAACGTTCTCAACAAAGATTTCTACAATAAAAATAGAAGTTTTCTTTCGCCAGACAAATTCCACTCAAATAACCTTGTGCAAATTCTTCTAAATATGCAAACAAATTAATAACTTGGAAAAAAGGAGGATAAAAAAAATCCCACATAGATTGCATACAGCCACTTGCAAAATAAATAAGAAATGGATATTGTTGTGTTGTTAAGTTAAAACCTACACCATTACTGCTAATTGATAATTTATGAATCATAACTTAAACAATAAGAAATACTAGCTGGAGAGAATTAGGAGCCTTATCAGATAGACATACATCAATATTTGCTTGCAGTTCAGCATTGGCCTCTGGAACTGGAATTCCCCGCCCAACTCGCTCACGTGGCCGTGATTTCTTTACACCATCAGCATTGGCTTTACCAGCTGCTCTCAATCTAGAAGATGACATTGACATTAAATACTAATTTTTGTGTATTCCATTGTCTTGTAAAAATATATATCTTTTGCTCCCTCGAATATCACGAGGCAGAGAAAGTAAAGATGAAGTATAATTAAATACATGTTGAAGTTATATAGATGCCTAGCAACCTTCTCAATTAAATAATGGAAAATGAAGATGATCAAAACCTAACCACCATGCATGCATTTCGGCAAACTTTTATGAAAATATGGTGGTTTATCAAAATGAAGATGAAATGATAATTTAGACGTCAAAATAATTTAAGCCACCTTCTAGCTTCTTCATCCCTTAGCTTTGCATCCATCTCCTTGCTGGGAGGATATTTGGGAAGGCTAGAGGGATCACAGGCATATGGTTTTGTAGTAAAGAACTGCAAAAGAGAACCAAATAACATTAAGTTAGAGTCATTATATCCAATTAGTGAAACACTTTAAGGATTGCAAGCACAAATTTCTTTGTCTCAAATTATAAACTTTATATAATTGACAGCACATCAGCACTATAATTACTGCTGCCATTTTCTATCACAAGGAAGCAACCCCCTTTCCAGAGCAGTACGGAGTTCAAAAAAAAAAAAAAAAAACCAGTTGCTCTACTTGTTGTTTAGTGAGGGGGAAGTCAACACTCAACACTGATTGAAGTGCAGTTCAGCAGTTAGTCATCAAAAAGTTAATTTTATGTTAGTTTACCATGATTTCAAAACCAATTTTTACATACTCAATCAAGACTCATTGTTTAACAACCAAAACCAATGGCAATTCAGAAAGTCAAACAATTGTGCTTACAAGAGAGCATAGGAATATATTTTATAGAAATAAAACTTCATGGCTGCTAGTTTAATGGTATAAGGAAAGCAAAAGTGACCCATGATACTAAAGAAAGTTTGAGTTAGATAAGGATTCTATACCCCAGGTTTGGTAAATTAGTACACAAGCACAACAGATGGACACAGGAAACTAGAGCCAATCAGTTAGTTGAATGGTTCAAAGCATCATATTAACCAGGAGTAGAGAGAAGTTAAAGACTATTAATAAAGAGGCAAATGTATATCGATAGGCAATTATGAATCCAATAATTCACCAGTTTGACATTACTAAACCATCCTTCAATAGTTTTGAATATTATACTCTATAACTCGACAGAAAGACAAATCAAGAATGGAACTACCGAGGACATGAAAACATTTAATTTGAGCATAAAACTTAGTGCATGGATACATAAGTAATTTGGTCTGCAATAGAATCTGGAAGATTCTTTTGTTTCTTTGTTTTGGAATTTCCAAAAACATGCACTTCCAAGACAAAAATCTTCATAAAACCATGCAACACGTGTTTGAGAAAGAAGATAGTTATGGAACAAAATTACAGAGCTTCCAGTGTAATGACACTCATAACATGAGTGTTAATTAAATAATTAGCAGAAAGATGCACATGGAGCACTTTGCTGCAATTGGTTGGAGGATAACTTTATATTTCTAAGGATATTTCAGAGGCATAATTCTTGCTTTGGGACAAAATTGCGCATGTGGCTTCTATCTAGTGTAAAACACACAACCTTAAGAGGCATGACTAAAAGGTATGTTGAAGGATTGTTCATTAAATAGTTTTTTCCCATGTCTTAAATAAATTTCTTCTTTCTCCACAGTATGTTTCGTTCTAGTTATGAGTAACAACAAATACATGTTAACAAAAAACATTGAGCAATAGGGAAAGGAAGAAACACAATCCAACTTATCTAAGAAGGCCTCTGCTAGTATATTATGGAATATATATTCATGGTTCTTGCATTGGAAAATAAATTAGGGTATGCAGTTGTAGCATGCCCACAGAAAAAAAAATGATAAATACATAAGAAGTTAGGAGCCTTAACAACATTTAGTCAATTCAATTATTATCTTACTTCACTATGTAATGCAGCAGTGGCAGTCAAACGTTCATCTGGATCAATTGAGAGAAGGGTGTCAATAAGTGGCAGTGACGATGGAGGAAAATCCTTAAATGTCTCCGCAATACATCGCTTGTATGACTGCTGGGGCTTAAAAATGGTAGCATGTGGCAACTTTGATTTTTTCCAATATTCGTCGGAAGGAGAACCACATAGCTTAAATATCTTGTGTAGTTGTTCCACCTACAAAGTATGAAGGATGCTAACTATATTGGTAAAATCCTAAGCACAAATATGACAATCAAGCTGCCGGAAATTAAGCCTTGGACAACAAAATCTTCCACATAGAAATATGCCCTTAAGAGATACAATAACAGACCCTATATAATGTATCCATCAAAGAAATTACCTCCGTTCGACCAGGCATAATAGGTTTTCCAGCCAATAATTCAGCAAGAATGCAGCCAGCACTCCAGAGGTCCACTCCTACACTATATTCAGTGGCCCCAAGAAGAAGTTCCGGAGGTCGATACCATAAGGTAACCACTCTACTAGTCATAGGGTGCTTGTGATTAGGATCATAGAAGGATGCTAATCCAAAATCAGCAATCCGAAGAATTCCGTCATTATCAATAAGAAGGTTTGACCCCTTTATATCCCGATGCAACACATGACGGTTGTGACAGTGCTCCAGTCCAGAAAATAGCTGATGCATGTAACATTTTACCTAAAATAACCAGATACAAACATATAATAAAGTCCAGCTCAAGTAGCAACCAGAAAATGTAAAAAAACTAAAGGTAAACAAACCCAATACCTGAGATTCTGTGAACTTAATTGCCGGGTTTGTGGCAAGTCCAGCCAGATCATGCACCATGTATTCAAATACAAGATATAAACTGCATGACATTCTAGAAGTCACTAAGCCTTCCAGTTTGATGACATTGGGATGATCCAGACGACGGAGAATCAAAATCTCTCTAGCCATGAACTTCACACTTTCAGGCTCCAAATTGTCAAAACGGACCTTCTTTAGAGCTACAATTTTCCCCGTCAAAGTATCCCTAGCTTTGTAGACATTGCTGTATGTACCTTGCCCGATCTGATTGATAGATAGCAAAATCACCAAGAAGAGATTTAATATTTGTCAGGCAAGTAGCCAGGAGAAATACCTTTAGACAATTTGTTGGAAGGCTTTTCAATTTACAAATCCCAACCCCCACAGAAAAAAAAGTGAGCCTAAACTCCAAGTTACTACTTTAGCTGTTACCCTTGTTTGCAAGTAAAAGGCAAACAACATCAACAAAAAACCCTTCTTTAGTGCGAAATTCCTCATATGATGTTAAACCATCAAAGAGCAACACAAATCATCAACACCCTCCATTGAAGGAAAAGAACAATGGAGAACATAAGAACAGCTCACAAATTTTCAAAACTCAAATCCAGACAGCAAGACGATATCAGCAGTCACCAAACCATTACTGGCAACAAAAGTAAGTACTATCGAGTGAGTCCAAGATGTTTCTTTTACCTTATCAAGCTTCTCAAAGGTGTCAGCCCTCCGAGGGGTCAATCCATTGATGGCTTCACCAGCAACCTTAGAGAGCCAAGAGGGCCACCCTGCTGCAACCTGCTCACCATGAACATGGTTAGGTGGATTGCTCAACCTCGGATTCGGCTTCGAAGATCGCCTCCTCTCTCCCCTTGCCCTTGTCCTCTTCTCCTCTCTTCCACCCTCCTTCTCCTTCTCAATGCTCTCATTCTCAACAACCTCTGCTCTACCCACTTCAGCTTTTGCCTCTCTCACGTGCTCTCTCCTCTCCTCCCTCGAAGACTCTCTTCCAAACGCACACCCCATCTCTCAAAATTTCTCATTTACTCCCCCATTACCACCAACCACATTTTCCCTCACTTTCTCACCATCCAAACACCCCCCCACAACCACTTACCCTCCAAAACCCTAATCATAAATCTCGAAAAGCTGGACTGTGCAAGCAAACGCTAATTCTAAAGACCCTAACTTTGGCAGACAAAAGTGAGAAAGCAATGATTTGGAGACACCCCACAATTTGTGGTGCAGTCAAAGAAAACAAGACCACTGTTCCTTTTTTTTTTCCTTAAGGTGGGTCTTTTTTAAATTTTCTTTCTTCCTTTGGTACAATATAGAGGAAGATCAAAGTTAACAGAAACAGTTGAAGTTGAGTCTTACCAGATTCAAAGATCAGTGAAAAGAAAAGAATGTTTTAGAGAGAGAAAGAAAAAAAATGTGAGGGTGGATCTCCCTTTCTTTTCAACTTCTCTCTCATACCCATGATGGTTTCTGTATTTATTTTGACTGAAAGAAGGACCAAAAGGTAGCAAAGACCTGTACCTGTAATAACCCAGTTATGGGTGTGGTGAGGTGTGTCAATGTCTCTATGCCCAACGCAGTTTATTTTTTTTTTTTTTCTTTTTAACCCATTCAGTACTGTGTTTTATCAAGGTGAAGAAGCTTCCATGATAGTGTCCAATCAAAGCAAGACAGAAAATTCAGGCTCAAGTACCGTGAAGATGTTTGTGTCAATTAATAATTACCTTTGATAGTGGTTAGTTAATTGATTTATTTATTTTTTATTGCATGCAGTAGACCATAAATACAAATATTATTGGTTTGGTTGAAGAACGGTGGTGGTAGGAAGGTACTGCAGTGTGTATGTACACCTGATGATCAATTCCTACATAAACTTGCTCTGTACTTTTATTTTATTTTTGGGCCTGTTTTGGTGGTTTATAACTTGGAGGTTGGAACATTGCTTTCAGTAACAAAATGGGATTGTCAAGTTGGTAAAGATTTATGATAAAATTAAAGGAAGATCAAAGCATGTGCTTAATGATAGTACCAACAAATATTATAATATGCTTCTCACTACACCAGTCTTATTTATTTTTTATTGCTATATATTATTCATCATCATATTAGCATAATATGTGTTTTTTTTATAAGATGATTTATTTTATACATAAAATGATATTATTAAAATTGGTATTTATATTATTATGTTTTGGATTATAAGGTGATTTGTTGTATTTTGGATATAAAATGATTTTTTGTTTTTACCTTTTTTTTCTTCTTCAATTTAAGCCTATTTGTAGGAACTTATCATTTTAATCAACTATTCTTAAATAAGTTTCATATAATATCTTTCATTGTTTATATTTTATGAATAATTTGTTTATTAAATTATAGTTACTTTGGTAGTAAAGATAAAGGAATTTATTTATACTATTATTTTGTAAAGTACTTTTCTTAGAATACTTAAAATCAAATGTAACTAGATTAAATTTTATTTAGAATGATAAAACCTACTAAAATTACACAATTATGACAACAGTAAATCAAGAGAATTTTGAGAAAATTGAGAAGCAAAGAATGAATAAGGAGAAAGGAAATTAGAAAGAAACTATCAAATATTTTTAAAAATTAACATCTAATTTATTGTGTAATGTTACATTTTTACCGTATAGTATCTATAAGTTAATTTTAAATTATTATTTATATTATGAATATATTTAACAAAACATAAACACCCATGTTTCTTGAAAACTCAACACAGAGAGGAATGCAATTATTTTAAAAAAATATAAATTGTGATTAATACGTTAATTTTTTGTTTATTATAAATTTTAATAATGATATAATCTATACTTTAAAAAAGATGTTATTATTAGTTTTAGTTATATAATACTATTTATTATTTGCATTGCATAAGTCAAAGCACTAAAATAAAAAATTGAAAAAATATAATAAACTTGTATATTGATATATATATATATATATATATATATATATATATATATATATATATATATATATATATATATATATATATATATATTCCCTGAAACAACTAAATTTTCAGGTCCTAATTAAGAGCATATAAACTCAGCAATGAAGTTTTTGTCCCAAACACGTCCAATTTAAATTATGACGAAAAGAATGTGTAATTGCGGTGTCTTTAATTATGCATCTAATGATACACCTACCATGAAAATGAAAACTCATAATCTATTCCTTTCACAGGAATAGTTTTTTTGTTTTTCGGTAAATTAAATTAAAAATGAATTAAAAAACTAGTGTAAGAGAGAGTGTATTTTAATGGAAAAAAATTGTTAATTGGTGTTTAATTTATGAATGAGTGAGAAGTGTGTTTTATGAATAAAGATTAGTGAAATTGATACGAATGGTGCATTAACTTGAGGTGAAAGAGAAGCAAGAAAAGGATATCAGAGGGAGTAACTGTGATTGGTCCCTCACACACCAAAGCAAGGATCCAATTCAATCCTGTCTATGAGGTGAAGGAAGAGTGAATCCTTTTCTATTCTCTTCTCACAATCATTTCATCAAAAGCAATCAATGCCTTTGATGGGACTGGGAAGCCTTGCTGTCCATTTCAATTCTACGCAGTTGCTCCACACCCGAACAGTAACACTCCATCATCACCACCACCACTCCTTATCTCTTTTCCCTCCGCCTCTCACCCTAAACACCACCACCCCTTCCTCCTCCATGGCTACCCATTTCCAGCTCTCAGAGACTCCACAATTGCAATCTTCTCCTTCCATTCCAATTTCACCTCACGACCTCTTGATCGTCGGTCCCGGCATTCTTGGTCGTTTGGTCGCCCAAATTTGGCGCCAGGTTATCTCTTCCCCATCCATCGCTGCCTCTTACGTTTGCTTCTGTTCTACTATACAGTGAGATGGAGATAAACTGTAAAAGGAAAGAAAAATAACGTTTTTATTGAATTTTGGATTAATTTAATTGTCGATTTATATTTTCCTAGTTGTATTAAAAAAAAATTCTGTTTAGAGACTAATATGACTATAAGCAACATGAGTGTGTATTCAGATATATCATGAGAGTGTGGAATTGAAATGAGTGTATGGACAATAACATGTTTATTGAAGCAGGAATATCCAGGTTGTCAAGTTTATTCACAAACAGCAACCACTAATCATCATGAGGAATTGTCTAAAATTGGTATTAATCCGTCTTTGAAATGGACCAAAGCCTCCCTCAAATTTCCCTATGTCATCTTCTGTGCTCCGCCTTACCAATCCTCAGATTACCTTGGCGATCTTAGGTTAGCTATCTTATCATTGAAATTTAAATTTAACTGTTTACTTTTATAAAATAAAAAATAAAAAAATACTGTTATTCATGCTTACGAGTTTGTTATGAACTTGTATATGGTGGACTGTCAAACAATCAGGTTGGCTGCATCATGCTGGAATTGTGAAGGTTCTTTGCTGTTTACATCAAGCTCTGCTCCTTATGACTGTAACGACAATGGATTGTGCGATGAGGTTGGTCTAAAACATTCTTTGGCCGTTGTCTTTCACTCTTTTATAGCTTAATTTGTGTTATTTTCCTCATATTTAGATGCATAAAATTATAGAAGAGAAAAGGTGATACCCTCTCTAGCACATCACTTGTTTTCCTCATATTTAGATGCATAACATTGTAGACGAGAAATGCTAACATGCTCTCTGGCACATTACTTGTTTTCCTCATCTTCAAATGCATGACATTATGGAAGAGAAATGCTAACACACTCTCTTACACGTCACTTGTTTTCCTCATCTTTATATGCATAACATTGTTGAAGAAAAATGCTAACAAACTCCAAAAAAACACCTTTTTACTCATCTTTAAATACAAAACATTGTAGAAGAGAAATGATAGAACACTTTATGTCATGCTCTTTTAAACATTCTCTCTATTATTTTTTAAAATTTATTAAAAATGACAAAATTATGTAAGTTTTTTCTTTCTTATGTAATGAGTCTTTCTCGAAAATTTAAAGACACACTGTAACACTCATGGAGTGTATTAGAGTGATGTTGATAACACTCCTTGTTTTCCATGTTTTAGGCATGGGTGTACAACAATTTATCTTGTTCATGGGGTTAGATATTTATTTTTGTGCAGGATAGTCCGGTGGTGCCGATAGGGAGGAGCCCCAGGACTGATGTCCTCCTAAAAGCTGAAAAAATAGTGCTGGAGTTTGGTGGTTCTGTTTTAAGACTGTCTGGACTTTATATATCCTTTTTAGAATTCTGTTTACCGAGCTTCTAGCTATCCATTCATTTAGGTGGTTATTGCTATTATGTTTATTTCTGTTGTCTGCTTCCAACCTTGACATAATTTTAAACAAAGTAGATAAAGGTGCACATGTTTATTGGTTAGAGAAGGGGATTGTTGAATCTCGTCCTGATCACATCCTGAATCTAATTCACTATGAGGTCAGAATTTCAGTGCATCGTATTTATTATGTTAACTAACATGATAGTGGTTTTATTTTATCTATATTTCCAAATTTGCATCTTTAAATTTGTTTTAACATACATCGTGTAATTAAGGTTTTGGAGTTCATCGTATCTGGGTTTACCGTCTAAACCAAAATATGTTTCATTTTTTTTTTCCTCTCACCCTTATATTTGGTTTCATATTTGTGCATTTCACCATAAGACCAATTTGAGTCCCTTAACAAACCAAAACATAACATTTTCTTATCTTCTTACGGTCATTCAGTATTTGTTAACATAAAGTTGAATAGGTTGTTTAATTTGCCGCTTTTCGAACCAGGATGCAGCTTCCCTCGCAGTTGCAATTTTAAAAAAACAATTTCGTGGGCGGATTTTCTTGGGTTGTGATAATCATCCCTTATCCAGGTTACATTACATGCTACCCATTGAGTTTGCAACTAATATCATGGAGACAGTAATTGCTTCTTTCTATCTGACATTTGTTCCTTCCCCTTGCAATTCACCTAGGTAGTGATGCCAACATATGTTTCTTTCTCTACCTGACCCTTTCTCTGAATGTTGTGTTGCCAGGCAAGAAGTGATGGATCTAGTTAACAAAAGTGGGAAATTTAGTAAAAAGTTTGAGAATTTTACAGGTAAAGAAATAACCACTCTTTTGATTTTAAATGGTTGATTCGAGATTAAAAACCAATGGTAGTCACAATCAACTTTTTTTCTAACTTGCTTGAGGTGATATGTTATCACTATGTCACTCATCATTGTCTAAGCACTGTTGAGCATTTGTATATTTTCTTTGCAGGAACTGATGATCCTCTAGGCAAGAGATTAAACAACTCCAGAACACGGCAGGAAGTAGGGTGGGAGCCCAAGTACCCTAGCTTTGCTCATTTCCTTGAGACCATCTGATTCACTCAGTATTTCTCCGTGATGACATTATACATACAGAAAATGAAAGCACAAACACTCAACTACTTGATTGTTATCAATTATATTTTGACTGTGAATTCGTGCTTGACAAGTATTATTAGCCTTGCTGTGGTGTGGGTAATAAAAACACGGGAGTGCATTTCCAGAATGTTTTTTTAAAATATGTAGTAACATATTAAATTAACTTATATAAAATGAAAAAAAAATGAATATTAAAATCTATAATAAAGTCTTTTTTCTTCTAGCAACAAAAATGATGTAATACTTAAAAAATGTATAAAATGTATAAAATAATATATATAATTATTTAAATTTAAGTTATCAATCTACAATTAATTTCTTAGAATAAATTATTTAACTATATAAAGATTATTATATGATCCAAAGTTTATGTTTTATAATGTCACCATTATAAATTATTTATATATAAGAATTATTATTTATATATTACTATTTTTCTTTCTAAAAGCAACATTATTAATAATATTAACTACATTACTATGTGATTAAGAAAAGTTAGTCGTATAATTATTATAAAAATAAATAAATAAGTAAAATTACATAAATTTATTTTAAATATAAATAAAAAAATTATAATTTTTCATCACAATCTAATTTACTCTTAGTTTAGTTCAGATTAACCAAACTTTTTGTTTGAACTATATCCTAAATTCAAATCAAATCATTTGTATTCATAAACACCCAACGTAGACATCTTTGGCAAAAGTTGCCTCATACTCCTATCACATGAAAAGTGAATCCTATTGGATTATGGATGCAACTGGCAAAGCCACGTCATCTAATCGGCACCATCCGTTTGGATTCTCCTTCCTCTCCAACCAGTTCCAGTGTTCCACTTATTATTTATTACCAAAGTTAACCACCATCATCAGTTTCCTTACTCCTTCATTTCCCACCTCACAATTCTCTTCACTCTATTTTGCACTCTTTTTCTGCTTCTCAATCTCTCTGAAAACCTCCGAACTTCCAAAATGTCCATATGCTACAGTTCCAATTTCATCTCACTGAACCATCAAAAAAGCCTTTCATTAACCTTCTCTTCGGACTCTCCGCACTTTATCAACCTGTTTCCAGTTAAGCATCGGAAATCACACCACTCTATTAAGTTCACCGCAGAAAGATTGAAGTTGTTTGCCTCTCTGACGCCATCTCCACCCGTTGAGACCGCCCCATCGAGTTATAGGAGCAAGAGTCCTAAAGATGTTAACGTCTTGGTGGTGGGTTCAACTGGGTACATTGGAAAGTATGTGGTGAAAGAGTTGGTTAAGAGAGGGTTCAACGTCACAGCCATTGCTAGAGAGAGGAGTGGAATTAGGGGTAGTGCTGATAAGGATCAGACGTTGAATCAGTTAAGAGGGGCCAATGTGTGTTTCTCGGATGTGACCAATTTGGATGCTTTGGAAGGGTCTTTGAACAGTTTGGGGAATTCTTTTGATGTTGTAGTGTCATGCCTTGCTAGTAGAAATGGAGGGGTGAAGGACTCTTGGAAGATTGATTATGAGGCAACAAGGAATAGCCTTGTTGCTGGAAGAAAACATGGGGCTTCACATTTTGTGTTGCTTTCAGCAATATGTGTGCAGAAGCCCCTCCTTGAGTTTCAGCGTGCCAAGTTGAAGTTTGAGGATGAGTTGATGAAGTTAGCTGAGGAGGATGGTGGATTCAGTTATAGCATAGTGAGGCCAACCGCATTTTTCAAGAGTTTGGGGGGTCAGGTTGAGTTGGTGAAGGATGGGAAGCCATATGTTATGTTTGGAGATGGGAAACTGTGTGCTTGTAAGCCTATAAGTGAGTCAGATTTGGCTTCTTTTATTGTGGATTGTGTGCTTAGTGAGGATAAGATTAAGAAGGTGTTGCCAATTGGAGGGCCTGGGAAGGCATTGACCCCACTGGAACAAGGGGAGATGTTGTTTAGGCTTTTGGGGAAGGATCCAAAATTCTTGAAAGTTCCAATAGGAATAATGGATTTTGCCATTGGGGTTCTTGATTTTCTGGTTAAGGTCTTTCCTTCACTGGAAGATGCTGCCGAGTTTGGTAAAATTGGAAGGTACTATGCGGCGGAAAGTATGTTGCTTCTGGATCCTGAGACTGGAGAGTATAGTGCTGAGAAGACACCTAGCTATGGCAATGATACATTGGAAGAGTTTTTTGCTAGGGTTCTCAGGGAGGGCATGGCTGGTCAAGAGCTAGGTGAGCAAACAATATTTTAAGACGGTTGTGGTTAGATATGTATGAACACAATAAGGCATAGAGAAACCAGTTTTATGTAAATGCATGTATTCGGCTAGAGTCAGTGTAATGTTTACAAGTTCAAGCATTGTTGAAAGAAACTCATGTCTCTGGAAATGATTTGTTGAAGATTCATGCTTCAACTGCATTGCACTGTCATTCCCTTGTTAAAAATCAAGTTCCTTTTAGTTTTGTAAAGAACTGGATTGAGTGCATATGAATGAAGTGTAACATTTTCTTAAATATACTGCTATATAAATTTCGCCATGCTATTGTGAGTTGATTGCTCAAAACGATAACTTATTTAGAATGGATTGGCTAAACCATGGTACCTATAACCCATCAAAGTTTCCTGCCAAAAAGATGAATCTAAAAGGATTTTTAGAAGAGAAATTAAGAAAATGACTTTTCCGTAATTAAAATTGTCTTGTGTAGAAGCTAATGTATAGAAACTCTCTCATATAATCTCTCCAAATTTATTTATTTTTGGTATGTAAGCTAATTTTTTAACTTATGGAGTATTTTTCACTACTAGAAATACTTATGGAAAAACTCGTCAAACAGACCCAAAGTGATTAACTCACGAGTTCGGTCCTATTTAGGTATCCTCATTGTCCTGTTAACTTGTATTGAATTTCTTAGTTGCATGCCATGTTTGTGCCATCTAGCTGGTATATCAAAAGTTCAACAACTTGATTTTCAGCGACAGGCTCACGGTTTATAAAATGAAAACAAGACATTCCTTACCTTCTTCATTTTCGATGAATGTTTTGATCAATTTTTTAGTGGTGCTCTTGCTTTATCTGAATTTCTTGAGAAAAAATGCTCCCAATCCTGTTGTACTAAAGGTACCTAGGGGAGTAGGATTTGCACTATTAAATATAAAAGTATCAATCATACTACTTGTACTTGGATTGATTAGTGATAAATAATTTTGTTTTTGAGGGAGAAGGATAAATGGATAATTATTTTCACAGCACAAATAGAATATAAAATACAACTGGGTTCCTGGAGACATAGTTTACACTTCACACACTTGAGAAATGCTAGAACTACATTACTTGACACAACTTTTCATTATGTTCTTTATTATTAAATGGAATTCATATGAAACTTTCTAAATAAGGACTCTACCTGCATTATTTAGTGAGACTCACATGAATTTCATTCAATAACAAAGAATGTTTTACTATCACTCATTTTCACATATAGTCACACCTTAGAAGAAACACTTGCAAAAAACAGAAGGTATTCACACCAAAATATGAATATTAACTTGACACACTGATTTGGCGAACAATGTGGCCCTTGATGGTCCGTGTTCCTTCCATCTACTTGGAGACTCGACTGTGAATGGTGAAAGCTGAAAGCCAGATGAGCAGGACAGTCACAATGCTGCCAAACAAAGCCACTGCTATGGAGCCAGCAAGATGCCTACAGAACTTGTCGTAGACATCGCAAACTTTAATCCAACCCACATGACTGTTTCCCTTTAGACCAATATATGCAACACTTCCGGCTGCTCCTGTTGCTGAGGCTGTTATCCCCAATATCAGCTGTACCAAGTCATGGTGAGCAATTTATCATAATCTGTTTATTTTATTTTGTATGTAAAGCAAGAAAGTTGAGAAGACAAGATGAATTGCAAGAAGATTAATTGATTAATTACTGCATCCCAGAAGATAAAGTGGAGGAGGAACTTCAGCTTGAATTCTGGCTTCTGTATGACAGCAATAGATGCTAGAGCAGAAACGAGGGCATAAAGGCCAGAGACACTGAATGCAGCCACAAAATATCTGCATGCATATCATATTATATGTCGAGGTAAAATTCTTAGTAAGTGATCTTTAGAAGACGTGTTTGACAAAAAAAGAAAGGCACCAAATAGCATTAGTCATAATAACTGCATGCGAATGGAGACTTTGGACCTTTAAATTAAAATTCCAAAGAAAAAAATAATACTTGAAGAGCATGACCTTGAGAATATACAACAGAAAGAAAAAAGCAAAACTTATACTTACAAAGAAGGAAGGTAAAAAACTTTGCCCTGTTCAGGGTCGTCATGGATATTTTACCTTGTGCTTGCAAAGCAGTTAATGAAACCATCTGATTTATTACTTACTTTTTTCAATAAAACTCATAATAAGCAAGACCAAAAGCATATTTACATCCTTATTTTAAATAGTAGTTAAATCAATAGATCAATTTATACTGCGATTTTCATATAGCAGGAAGAAGCAGCAGCACAAAGTTTGATTTCAATAAAGCAGTTAAAGGGAAACTTTATCTTAAGGTTGGTATGCTTCAAATTGAGAGTGATTGTTTTTCATCATTGATTCTTCTTTTGTTTCAAGATATTTGATATCATATTACAAATAACCAAAAATAGTAAATCTGCAAAGAATTTGAATGATTCTCAACTTACACAAAAGCTGGTGAGTACTTGAACTTGGCTGGCTGTGGTACAAGCATACCTTGGGAGAGCACTAGCTCTGTTTGATCACTGGAGACTATCACTCCAAGTGCCACCACTGATGCCGCCAACAACAGAAATCTGAGGATCACATCAACTTCAAAGTAATCCACTCCAGCCGGAGGGGATGGAGTTGAAGATGATTTGTACTCAACTTCTGTAGAAGCCATGAAGTGGTGCTTATCAGCAGGTGACTAGTGAATTTGATAGTGGCAAAGTAGACTTAGTTAAGCAAAGAAATGATCCATGTGCTTATATATACATCGATAGGTAAGGTAAACCAACACATCCCATCTATTGTCAGCTTTAAATTTTATTTTTAAAATACATTTCCATAAGTTAAAAGAAGAAATGTCTGCATTCTTAGCTTCCATTCCTAAACTAAGTGAGATTTACAGGTATATAAAAAAAATATCTTTTTAAATTCGATTGTTCAGTTTATATAATTATTCTGGTAAAGATACTTTTGGCACCAAAATACATAGTTCGTTTCAATTTTGGACATGCATAAATTTCACATAAATGAAATGTTTTATCACTAGTTGAATGTTAGTTCAAACTTCCTTTCAAGGTTTAATAAAACATTAGTGCTCTTCTTCCAAAATATTCAAAACTAGCAATGGACATTATCACCTTCCACTTCTGCTTGAAAATATCTGAGGAAAATGGTATAAAAATGTTTTAGCATATTTTCAAAAAAGAAATAAAACCCAAAATTTTTCTGTCATTCCATCATAAATAGCCAATAAGTTTGTTAATTTTATAACAATTAATTAAAAATAGACATAAATAATTATGTTTTATTGGTCAAAAATGTATTTATTTGAAGTAGTGATATATGTTTGGTGATCTCATAATTTAAGCTCAACATAAATTCATTTGTGGACTCCAATAGATTGAGTGTGGATAGTCCACATTCTACTGATTCTAGTAGGATTTTATAGTTTTCTCCCATTTGAAGTAGGTTTTAGAAGAAGGGTAGGTTTTAAGAAATAAAAAAAGAATCACTTTGTTTTATCTTATCTAATCCCTTTATTTTTTAAATGATTTGACCACCAAGAAAGAGTGATCTTTCCAATAGTATCCAAACCTAACCAATCCATTACATCAGTGAATTATAACCAATTATCAATTTTATATTTCGATTTATTGGATTTTGAACCCTAGCTATTACTGGACTTCTAGTAACTAGATGCTCATAGTCAAAGCCGTAATGAAATTAATCATGAATTTTGGATTTTGTTGGCTAAATTCAAGTGCTCAATCATGGCCATGCTCACGTCAACCACACAAAATTTTCAACTCATGTTTTTCTTCGTTAATGGTGACTAACACTGATCTGCAAATACATGAATACAATAAATTAATCAAATTTAACAGATTGAACTTCGAATGAATTACACATTAATGTCAAGATTATTGTATAAGATTAATATAAATAGAAGAAGTATTTAAATTAGTTTAGACTTAAAAAAAAAAAAAAAAAAAGTGTGACCCAACTTAGCCAATCATCCCAAAACGTCACCGTAAGGCCTGTAGTTCGAATTCGACCTAGCCTAGCGTGCTTAGGTATGTATTCTGCTTTTCCCCTCTTTCAATCCCCTTCATCGCTTTCGATTTTGCACATTCACAATTGTCCCATTCTCGAAGGCGTAACAGAGAAGAGAAGAAAAAAGGAAAGAGTTTGAGTTTGCGGTCTCAATAATGGGGAGCGAAGAGGAGAAGGGGGAATTCTACCTGAGATACTACGTGGGGCACAAGGGGAAGTTCGGGCACGAGTTTCTTGAATTCGAGTTTAGACCCGACGGGAAGCTCCGTTACGCGAACAACTCCAACTACAAAAACGATACCATAATCCGCAAGGAGGTGTACCTGACTCCCGCCGTTTTGCGTGAGTGCCGTCGTATAATCGCGGAGAGCGAGATCATGAAGGAGGACGACAACAACTGGCCAGAACCCGACCGGGTGGGACGGCAGGAGCTGGAGATTGTGATGGGTAACGAGCACATTTCCTTCACGACTTCCAAGATCGGATCTCTCGTCGACGTTCAATCCAGTGCTGATCCAGAAGGCCTTCGCATTTTTTACTACCTTGTTCAGGTCAGTCACATATCTCATTTTCATATTATTGTGTTTCTACTAAGTTTCTAGTCCAATTTGTGAAATGGGGTTATTAGATGCACCTAAATCAAAGTTCCAAGGACTTGCTTTGTTACCAGAATGTTAGATGCAAACAAGTATTACTTGTATCGGAAATTATAGGTGCGGAAGACTAAGACTTGTGTGGATGAACTTCTCCGTGAACACTTTTAGAAGAAGAAATAAATGAAATAATCTTCTCCTTAAACTAAAACTAGCATATAGATAAGCTAATTTGTAAAATCTCTCTTGTTTAGCTTCTCCAAAATCTGACTTCTAACTTTGGATATATTTTTTCTTCTAAAAGTTGCTTTTGCGGAAGTTCAACTAAACAGACTGTAAACGTTTGTTTGTTTGTTTTTGTTTTTTTTTATGAGAGGGAGCCTAAAGGATGTTTGCTTGAAGGGAACAGTTTCTTCCAAACAAATGTACATTGGATTCTCTCCTAATGGAAAAGCAAACATGCTATGAGTCCGTTTATCTGCCTTCAAAGCTCGCATTCTGAAAGTGCAGTAGTTTAGGTTGTCTCCCTGACAGAATTTTGGGCCTTTTCTTGACTAGATTCACATTGGGAAACAGTAATGATTTTCTCTAGGAACCGAGTAATATGTCTTGAGTATAAGAGTATGACCTGTTTTCTTATAATGAAAGCATTGAAGACAACCTCTACAACCCCTTGACCTCCTTGGCGGCATGGCCTTCACAACCTCCATCCCACTGGGGACTTCTTGGTCTGTCAATTTTATCATGGATTTGCCTAAAGTCTGGGTGCATTGCAAGAAAACTGGTATACTGTACAAATTATCCTGCTTTTTTACCAAAGGATGATGGTTATCATCGTGCCAAAACATTCTCAATTCTTCTACCACCAATTTTGCTCAAGTTAAAATTGTCATGTTGGGATCTTGTTGACTAAGAGACCTAACTTTTGAGCTGAAGTATATAGACACTTAATATCATTGACGAACAAATTACAAAACCTTATTCAACAAAGCGAAACATGATTTTAATGTTCTGTCAAGTTTTTTAATAGCGTGCTGTGGTGCCACTATACTGACATAGCAGTGGGGAGCAACCCCTGCTCACTACAGGGGCAACTCTACCTAAGCAATTTAGAGTAGTCCCTTTAACAAACTAACTAGTGGCGCTATGTGTTTATTCCAGAAAAAGCCCTTTGAACAGTTACATTCACATTAAGGCTTTCATGGGGAACAATTTTTGGGATTTCAATTTCCAAACCAAAAATCTATAACTCTAAAAGTGGGTAAATAATAATAAAGAGACTTGAATCTTGGTGATTCTTAGAAAAAAACTTGTATTGAACTTTTGTTTGTATTTAATTGTATGTTTTGTTAACTATGGCTATTATAATTATGAATGTCTTTAATTTGAATTAGATTTTCATTTTTAACAATTTATATGTATATATTATACAGATATAAACTACATAAGAAATTTCAAAATAGCAGCTATCCCATTTTTCGCTATTTGTTATAGTGTTTTTGGGGCCAGCCACCCTGCGCCACCATCCAAGATTTAAAACATCGGGTTCTGAAATTAATCATGAAAAAATTGCTTGTCTCAACAAGTTCATTGCTTTTGTTTAGGGGGTTAGCATGACATGGAGTTATGCTGATAATTAGTTTTGTATCAAAACATGTAACCTCTTTAATGTATTAATTTGGAAATGTATGTGGACAATATGGGGATTATTGGTCATGATCTTGGCTTATTTTGTCAGGTAAATTTTATCCATCCAATCACTTTCAAACTAAGGACTAGGGTAAACTCAAATACTTCCTTGGTATTAAGGTAGCTCAGTTTAGAGGTGGTGTTACTCTCTCGTAAAGGAAATATGCTCCTTACATATTGAAGCTTGGAAGAAAATGGTACATTGAATTATAAACCATTTGACAACTCTAAGGATCCAAACAAGTTATAACCGGATCAAGGTGAACCTCTTTCAGATTCTGGTAGATGTAAATAGTAGAGTAGAGTAACAACTGTTATCTATTCGATCTTGAGTGAGGAAATATATCATCATGAATTAGTTCAGAATGCTTTTCTGGGTCATAGCTTGTACTTCGCAGTTAGAAAAAAATGCGTGGTACACTCTGATTGACCCCTTTTGGGAACAGAGACAGTCATTGCATAACCAGCACAGCTAAATTATTATAAAAGGCTAAATTTGCAGTGTTTTATGAGAATCTTTTCATTGATTTGGTCTACGTTAAGTCTATGGAAGAATTTATTGGCATTTAGGTTAGAATCAGGACTCCCAGTATCAACTTAAACACTTTCCAAGTACAGTTATCGGTATCAGTTAAGCTGAAGACCCCAAATGAAAAATAAAACAGCTTAAAACTTAACAAAGATAGTTTTATTAGTATATAACTCAACCAAGAAAGCTGAAAATAAACTATACTCCGACCTTAATTTTCTCAATGTAGTTATTGTCAGAATTTCAATTCCATAATTCTGAAGTCAATTTAGCTGGTATTTAAAAACTCCTTTGTTCTAGTGTTTTCCAGACTATGTTTCTAAATGTTTTATAGTAATGTGTGTCCTTCATTATATGTTATTATTTTTTTTATCCTGTGATCTTTAGTTTTGGGGGAGGAAACTACGGTGACTATTAGCTGCTGCTCAGTAGTTTGATGAATGCCAGATTTGCCTTTTGTCAACCTATGCCTTTGGTTTATTGTTTTTGTAATTACTGTTTTCAGGATTTGAAGTGCTTTGTCTTCTCTCTCATTTCACTTCACTTCAAGATCAAGCCTATATAAGGTCTTTGCAATATTATGCCTTTCATCCTCGATGTGTACTTGTGTCACAACCATCACTTTTTTCGAATGGAGTTTGACGTCTGATTAAGTGACTTAGAATCATGAATATGATTTGGTTCTGTATTGGTACATGAATTACAAATTTTATATTTGAGGGTATTATCCTTATACCAAGTGTTGATTGGATTTTTTTTTATGCATTGCTTGGTTATTCTTTCTTTCCCTTTCTTTCACGTTTGGGTCATAGGAAATGTTACAATTGGAATTACTGTGTGTATATGATGCATACTTTCTAGCAAGATTTCTTGAGATGGAATTTTTTTTTATAAATTTTATTAATTTTTGGGTCAAAATATACACAGTCCATTTCAATAAGATTTAACATTTTTATGCAAATTTGTACATAATAATTTGCGCAGGTGACTATCTGTAGTGAGAGTCTGGAGAGTACTTGATTTTATACTGAATTATTTAGAATCACCATGGAATATCAGTTGAAACAATCAATTTTTAGATCACTTAGATAAAGGTTCAAGCCAATCAATATTAGTAATTTTTTTAATACTAAGAAATTAGTAGAACTGATATTGTGTTAAAACAATTTTATGTAATTTTTTTGTATTGGATAAAAAATTACATTAAATGTTATTATTAACTTATTTTTAAAACAAAAACATTTAAACATAGACTATATTATTTTAAATTCAAATTTAACTGAAATCCATTTTCATATTTCATTCAAATAATTATCCATCATATTCCTTATTAAATGGGTTTTACTGCACTAAGTGATGTGACATTAGATATGGTTGGTTCAGTTGGATAGATAATTGCATAATTTTCTGTGCTTAATAATATATTTATTCAATTTGATAGTTGAGTAATATCACTCTATTGCGGGGGCAATCCGTTTTCTATTCTTTAATTTGGTATGCAATTACAATTTGGTTTAAAATTTAAGTTAATTTCGCAGAATCAAATTTTCGAATTAAGAGTTACTCTTCGTTTACATGTATACTTTTACATATCCCTTCCTCTCTCTCCCCTATGAGTTTGCTGGTGTACATACTCCTCCATTTTTAGTTGGAATGTATTAGCAATTTTCATAAGAAAAAAACTCATAATTTATTTACTTTAATGTAATTATTTTAATATATATATATATATATATATATATATATATATATATTATATTTAAAACCAAACACAGAATTTGTGACTACTGGAGCTGTGAGGATGGGTGGTCTTCATCCACCACTAGCCATGGTCATAAATGCTTTCAAATGAAATTTTATTTTCTTGGAGGAGCATTTGTAGCCACAATATTATCTATGCCACCAATTTCTTTTTTCCTGGAAGTGATTTGTTTGCATTGTTCAGTTTTTCATTTGACATCAACAGACGCATACTTTAGGACTTTTAGATCCTCATCCAGAAGCAAGAACCAACAACCATGCACACACCAATTGAATGAATAACATGCTTACGTTATAATCTATGAAATATTTGATGACATTCAAAAAGTGAACCTTTTTTTTAAGTTCACAAGTTATGTCATGATGGGAAATACAAACCCTTTTTTTTTTTACGAAATTGATATGTAGACAGAATCAAATTTATTTCGAGTTGGCCAATTTTTTTCTTAAAGTAAATTAAGTTAAATAAGGTTTATTGGATTCAACTCAATTTTATATGCAAATAAGAAATAATTATGAGTTTGTTGGCAACATAAATCAACTCATCCTACAAAATATCTAAGAATTATATACCTGTTTGACAATATAAAGTCAGTTCTTTCCTACACACGTTTTAACGTAACATATATTGTTAAAATGAATTTCAACACTTTCTAAGTATGTTTAACAAAAATAAAGATAACTCCAACCAATTTTAAAACAAAACGCATGTGAGTGGGAGGCTTGCTTATCTACAATAAAAACATTTAGAAAATTAAAATTAAACTAATAAAAACTCTCTTAAATAATATTTTTATTTACGAATATAAAATCATCGAAACATATCTTTCACAATGTGAGAATCAGTTGCAAATTCCAATGATATTGTTAAAAAGGGTTGTGAAGAAAGCTTATCCCTTTGACCAAAGTGCATGCAAGTATGTAATAAATGCATTTATTAATTATCCTTATTCATATGAATAATTAAATATTGGGTACCCCTTATATTCTTCTAGACCCAGATTTAAAGATAATATTTGTTTTCTTAAGACGTAATTCATCATATTTCTTATATAATATTTTAAATATAAAATTAATCATTCATTATATTTCATGAAATTATACAAACTATTTTTTTTACAATAAACAATAGTCTCTTTCATTGGGTATATATGATACCTATTCCAAACAATTAAAAAATTAGTGTGATATGTATGTCAACAAAACAAGTGAAGTTTATTTAAGTTCAAGAAATTTTGTAGTGGTTAGTGTAATTTATTTGAATTATTTTTAGACTAAAATATCTCAATTAAAAAGAGAAAGATTGTTCTAACAAACCATTATAAGATAATAATGATAAAAATAATTTACAAAAAATTATAATAAAATTTTTAAGACATATTTATAGTTGAATAACAATTAAATTTACTACTTTCTCTTATAAGAATAGAGTAATTAAATTTTATAAACAACACTTTTTTCTCTTGCTAAGGAATCTTTCTGAGATTAAATTCATTTAAGTGAGTCTCTGGTGAGAGTTTGAAGTCTCACAGCTCTATCACATTTATAAAAAAGAAAAGGAAAATAAATAGAAAAATGCCATAGTCGAGTTCTTGCTATATATGCATGATGGTGACTCCTCCATGCTAATTTACTCTGCAATAAAGAGGTGCATGGTGTGACAGACGTGCATACTTTTCCACGCCATAATTGCCATTCCACACAAACTGTATGGGATAAATGAATGATCTTTCGTACCCCTTTTAGCAACATTACCAACTTCCACACTATTTAAAGTCACACACTACCATTTTGCCAACACTTCACCGCAAGAGTTAAGTTTGTGTTGGATACTAGAATGGAGGGTCAGAGTAAGGGTAGTTTCAATGTGATGGAAGAGAGTGAGAGGAATGGCAAAGGAAGGTGTGGATCAATGGTGGGAACTTGTGATTTGGTTTTGAGGGTTTTGGCCTTTGTACTCACCCTTGTAGCTGCTGTGGTTATTGGGGCAGATAAACAAACTGCCATTGTTCCATTCAAGCTTGTGGAATCCATGCCACCTTTGTATGTTCCTGTTGCTGCTAAATGGCATTACTTGTCTGCTTTTGTGTAAGTTCTTTCATACCTCTCATTCTTTCTTTACATTCATTGCAAACACCAATTACATTGGATTTAGATGAAAAGGTTGGATTTATAATTCTCACCTAACTCAATTAGTTTTATAAAAATGAATTAAATACCTTTATTTCTAGTTTTTTAAATTATTTTAGAATTAATTTTAATGATGCTGATATTATTAAAAAATCTCCTTAAAAATAAATAATGAAATCTCACTATCACGTGATAATATACTGATAAAATATAATATTCTCTCATAGGTCGATTTTGTAAAATTAAATTAATTAACTTAAATTTAATAATTATAAAAATCTTAAAATCTGACCTAAATCACCTTTAATTATATTTTGTCATTTTAATATTTATCACTTTATTTTTTTTATTTTCTTTCCTATTTTATCATGAAAGAAATTATTATGTATTTTTTATTATATATATATATATATATATATATATATAACAAATTATTAGATATTTCAATACTATTATATACCTATAATTTCGATAAAAAAAATTGTTTTGTGTAGATAAAATAGCAGACAATCAAATTCATTGAAAAAATAGAGATAAGATACAAATTTTACTCAAATTTATTTATTTATTTATTTATTCAATATTTTTTTATTTTAAAAGATTGTGCATTTTCTTTTCCAAGATGGATTCTTTCCTACGAAATTTCTAACGACGCATGATAACTAAAAAATGTTCTCTCTATCCATTAGAGAAAGGACAAAAACACTAAAATAGGAATAAAATAGATGGGAGAAAATTGACATGAAAATTGATTAGGTTAGGTGTTTCATACATTAAAGACACCCATAATGAATAACGTTGAAGAGGGAGGATGAATGAATTGCGATAAAAGAAAGAAAATAATATGGAAATTGTTTCTGCCCATAAATGCTCCCACCATTTTTATACTCACTCTCGCTTACCCTTGCCGATTTATTTGACCCCAACCAAACTCACTCCTTTTATTTTTCTTTTTTCTTTTTTTAATCTATCACCCATCATTATTAGCTATGTGTGGTTATGCCATGAGGCTACTAGCAATATACTAGTGCTATCTAACACAATTGTTTTTAACTCTCATTAGTTAAAATTTATTAAAATCTATATAATAATATTAAATAAAAATAAAATTGATAAATTTTTGTAATTTTTAGTGAACTTTTATTAATGATACAATATATAATCCAAAAAATATATTATAATAGTTTAAAAAAACATTGGCAACATATTTTTCATACTTTCTGCACCTTTTGTATTACTGGTTAAAATAGATTTAAATTATGACATGGCAAGTAAAACTATTTAATAAAATTTGCATCCCACTAAATTTCGAGTTTTTTTAATAAATTAGAATTAATGATAGAGAATGCGTTAAAAAGAGATGTGAAACATATATAAACGAATCTTACAACAAGTTTTATAATCTCTTTTTATTTTATTTTATTTTTATGTGTAACATTATTTATAAAATTTTAAAATTCTTTAATTGTACAATCAACATTTCTCCATAAAAAATGTTTTATAGTATGCTGTTATCATTTCTCCAATTTTAAATCATTAGGGGTATAATCCTATTTTACAACCATCCTTCTGATTGCTAAATAAAAAATATGAAATATATTTGAACATTTTAAATATTACAGTTGCTTGAAGAGTTAAGAGAAGAATCTAAAATCAAATCCCAGAAATGCCAAATGCAACTGACACTAAATTTCATGCATGCATACATGTATTATAGGTACTTTGTGGGGGCAAATGCAATAGCATGTGCATATGCAACATTGTCTCTCTTGTTCAGTCTTGGAAACAGGCGTAAAGGGATGGAGTCGTTAATCTCTGTGTTTGACACATTAATGGTGGCTTTGCTCTTCTCTAGCAATGGAGCTGCCATTGCAGTTGGCCTCCTTGGCTTGCAAGGAAACTTACATCTGCATTGGAACAAAGTGTGCAATGTATTTGGCAAATTCTGTGACCAAGTGGCTGCTTCTCTTTTTATATCACTTCTTGGATCAATAACATTCCTCTTGCTGCTGCTGCTTCCTCATGTTTTCAGACTTAAACAAACAACCTAAGCTGTCTTCTTGGCCTCTTTATTCAATCAATAAGTTTAATGTGGTTGATTACACATCCATGACTTTATTATATATGTTCCATGTGTCAGAATTAATGTTAGTGTGGTGGCACCCCCAGTCATAGATTTTATATTAATGTGTGTTGATTATGAACTTGTTTAGGAATGTTTTATGGCTTTTTGTTATGGCTTATCTATGCATTCTAGGTAAAACCTTTTTATCTTTCTGTACTTTCATCTCAGTATCTCACTAATTCTAATCCATTTTCACTTTAAAAATTTCTATATGTCATGCCACCGTCAAACTTAAACAGGTATTTTGAAGAAGGCAATGGTTAAATAATATTTTCAAATTTATTAAAATGTGTTTGGACAAATTTTTTGTAAAGACTTTTAATAAGAAGAAAGAATAAATTCATAACCTAATATTAATTTACAGAAAAATTCATTATTTTTTCTCTTATAAGAGTTCTTTTCTTTATAAAGAAGTTCGTTTGAACAAAACTTACATGTGACATGTATTACAAAATGACCTAATTCAATGCATGATGTTGATGAAGCAACACAATAAATCAATCACAATGAAGGTAATGATTCATGCATTGAAGAAACCATATCGAGTTTGTTGATTAGATTCAAGACAAACACAATTACTAGCAGCTCATGATGTCTAAACACATTGACCTATATATATACACATTCTTATATCAGCCCAAATAGTGGCTCATAATATTACCACTAATTCACTTCAAATGATGGAGGAAGAATAACCCATGAAAATTTCAGGCCTCAATACATCATTAATGTTGATGATGAATCAAATAAGGCTCTACAATGATCGAGCCATAAATTTAAGCAAGATCTGTCTCCAAAACCAAAAAGAATCTAGTCATCGAGGAAGAACAGGAGGAGCTATAGCACGAGTATTATATGAGTTGCAGTGACCACATTTATGCCCAATAATGTGAAAGTAAACTTCAGTTGTGTCATTGCAGTCATTACAGAGTATCCAAACCTGCAATGGATGTTGCTTAGTTTTCAAAATCTTCTGATAAAACCATGATATATACATGTATATTTAAATTGAAATGCATGGCATGATTCTTTATTATTTCAATAAATGGTTAAATGGCATGTCCAAACTTTAGATATGGTGTTCTTTGCTCCATGGACACAAAGGATAAAAGCTGCATTCCTACTTAAAAAGCACGTTTCATGCCTAATTTATAAATTTTCACAGAAAGCAATGAAATGGAGTTAAATAGAAGTAGAGCATGTATTCAACAAACATTTCTATGAGTAAAACTTTACCTTTCTGTGCCGATAGTCATCGGGCATAAGAGTTGCTTCAATCTAATATAGCAAAGCAAATAAGTGAGAAATCATTGTTGTAGATCATTTTTTCGAGTAAATAATCTTCACCAGATTATTTCACATTGTAAAAGCCAATATATCAAATTTAAGCATCTATAGGGCTAAATTTAACCAACTACCTCTTCATCAATTCTCTTCCATGTCCTAGACATGTCAATTACCGACTTGGAGCATATGGGGCAACAATAACTGATTCATATATATTACCAAGTTAATTCAATGATTAAGCATAGATAATGTTATGAAGATCAAAGAGTTGTCAAATAGTTAATACTCACTTGTCACGCTTTATCATCTCATGGTAACATTCAGAATGCATTGTGTGACCACATTTCATAACAGCAGTGTCTTTCAATGAGTCGAAGAGGTACTATACAAACAAAATTAAGTTATTGCAGAAGCCTTTCGTATTTCTAAAGACACAAAAGTAAAAACCCCTTATTTGATTGAAAACATGAGATAGGGAAAGAGGGGAACAAAGCACGCACCTCATAACAAATGGGACAATGATGCCTCATGGAGTTCTCCACACACAAATGATTATCACGAAGACTAGTTGAATAGCAAGACCCTGTTATGCAGCAATTGGTTTGTTAACGGAGCAAAAAAAATTCAGTAACTAATATGATTGATATGACTCTAGATTCCAAAGGAAACAAAATTCATCAAAAGGAATTCAGATAAAAATATAGCATAAGTTAAACAAACTGTTCAAAATTATAAGGTACCATAGATCAAGAGATAAGTTTGACATATATTCTTTCAATTGGTAAAAAAAAAACTGGAATACTTTGCTTTGAGGGGACACTTTTGACTCCCCATAATGGATTTTTGGAGAGTTGTAACAACTAATAAAAACCAGGGGGGAATGAACAGCAAAACACTATATTTGGGAAATTATTGATATGAATCAAATGGCAATGAGTTGTTGTCCTTTTCATCAACAAACACATGAAATGTGAAATCACTTCAGCACAAACGAAAATAAAGCTAGATGTATAGGAAACTCTAATAAAAAGAAAAACAAGTTTCCGTTCCAACTACAAAAATTTCATTTGGAAGCTATTAAGATAAGACAACTATTTTAAAACCTTGGAAACAGAATCATGGTAAATAAACAGCAGAGACTGCAGAGTGCTTGATCATCTGGTCTCACTTAGAGGATGATAGCATTGTTTTTAGTAGTTTCAGATTATGAATATGAATTAACCATGCAAACTCTGCTAATTACTATTATTTAATTGCATGAAATGTGAATTCAGCACCTTACAGAAATAGAAGGAACAAATTGAATATTAACAATTTGAAACAAACAATTTGCAGCAAAACTTATTTGAAAAGGGAAAGACTATTCTTGTACTACATCAACGAAAGAGAAACTATTATAACGTGATAATGAATGCATACCACACTTATTGCAGTGGAAAAAATTCTCACGACCACCAACTCTGTTCCAAATTTCATCACCAAAATTAGTAGAGCATGTCATAAACATGGATAACTAGGACCATATGGTAGGATTTATTCATAAAAACAGCCAATTCACCTGCATATCCCACATTCATCACAATGAAACTGTAGTTTCCCGGTCTGCATAATGTGTCATAGAAAACACTAAGATTAACAATCACAAGCCAGAGAAGCAAACACCAAATGTTAGTTCTCAAACTAGTTCATCTCCAAGTTACATGAAGAAACCAATGTAAAACTACAGATTCACTCAGGGGACCCTTACATCATCATCGAAGAATTTGCAGATGCTGCAGAAATATTCTCCCATTCTGACACCACAGTTTGTACAAACCTGGGCAACCTTCAAAAGAAACAATGAGAGAAAACCGCTATTACCAAAAAACAAAAAAACAAAAACGTACAGTTTCAAATCTAACTGGGAATAGATATTAGATACGCACTGGCTGCTCTGTGTCACAAACTGAACAAACAACCTGAAACAGCATCACAATGCAAAAACCATACGACCATCATTTCATGTTAATGGCACAACAACTAGGCAGTGTGGAAAACGAAAATCAAGTTGGAACATTACATGTACAACATCCTGGCGAACGAGTTCGTGATGATCAAAAGGTTTATTCAGCATGCTCTAATGAGGCAGACCCGTGTCAGAGAAAAGCAAAAAGACAAGGTTTTCGAGATGAAACACACAAAAAAAAAAAAAAAAAAAAAAACGAATGGGTAGAACAAGAAATACCGTTGCCTCGTTATGACAATGACGGCAAGAATAGACCTCATTGCAACATGGAGCTCGAATCCTGCATCTTCTTCTGTAATGCTTGCACCTACAAAAGCCCACCACCATCATCAAAACAAGAAAACAAAGGACAAAACATAGTTCCTTGGATGTTTTTTGCGATATTTTCTCGTCTTGGATAATTCATATCATAAGGTTGCATTAAAGAAGCACTCGAATTAATTAGATGAACTTCAATTTTGATTGACAGAAAAATACAAACATCATCTAAGAAACTATGTCCAAGTTTTATCTGAAATGGAGAGATTCAAAACCCAATGAAAAGAAAGGGCATGGAAAAATAAGATGAGGTACCCGAATCCCATCTTCCCAAAATCAAGACGTTCAAGGACTGAACGTTCCATGATTTTTGTAAAAGAGAGAGGGTAGGGAAGGCTGAGAAGGGAGTTTCTTGAATTGGAAAGATTCTGTTTTTCGTTGGTGTTGGTTTTGGTTTGGCTTGATATTGAGAAGGAAAGAGAAAGAAGGAGCAAGCCATTGTTATTATTATTATTATGATGATGATGATGATGATATGGTTTAGTTTTTTAATATAAGTAATAGCAAAAATTAATTCTTTGGCTACAAAAGTTGATAAGGAAGAATACTATGTATCCACTTGGGAAGAGAGAGAAAGAGAGAGAGGACAAGGGGTGATGGAGGAAAGGATTGGCATGGCAGAAGAGAAGATGGTGAGTGTGAGCAATAATTAACAGAAGGAGATGTGACCGTTGGATCTACCAATGGGATTTTAGATTTGGAAAAGCCAAAGCCAGCCAACCAACCATCTAAACCAAGAAAACCGTTTTATTCTGCTCTGGTGTCTTTCAGTGTCTGGTGGGAGAATTTAACTCAGCACTTGCAATACCATGATACATCCCCACTAAGTTATCAAATGTCAATCCAAAAGGATTCTTTTATGGAAAAACATAATTTATGAGACATGTACTCACTTTTCTTACTGTAAAAAAAAATTATAAATCGTTTAATTTATGGCATCAAGTGTCATTACATCAAATCAATTATTCATTTTTTTATGTGGGAGAAAACAATAGTTGGTGTTGGCTTGGAGATTCATGCACCATATGCAGTCCTGATCAAGTGGCACACATGAACCACCTCATTTATTCATTTATTTATTATTTATTTGTTTTGTGGGGTTTGAGATTGGGAGATTTATTTATGAAACTCGACTTAGTACAGAAATGTTGTGATGCGATTGACAAGTACAATGATAATGATAATTGATAGTAAAGAAAATTGAGATCAGAAGTGTTTTTGAATTCTTTAACTAATACGATGTTGGTTAGAATTTATCAAATACTAATAGAATATATGTCACTCAAACACTACCAATTTTCACGTGTACTCATGCTGGACAATAATAAACTTCTCCACCCAAATAAATTTTGCATTGGAACTCGATCATAGATGAAAATAATCCAAGTTTTAGCTCAAGTTCAATGCATAGATACGTAACCACGTTAGTTCCACATTAGAAACAGATCTGTCGTAGCTGTGTAATGTTAAAGTGATGGAGTGTGATGTAATATATAAGTAAAGTTTAAATTTTACTTTATAAAACAGATTTATATATTCCATATAAAGAATTATGGAAATTTTTAGGGTTAATGTGTTTTTTTATATATCATATCAATATATTTTTTTAATTCATATACTATAACATAAAAATATAATAAAATATTAAATATCAATAATATATTAATTATAATTATTTATATCGAGATAATAATTTAATATTTTTTTATTTTTTTAAATAATAATAAAATTTCTTAATACATCATTTAAATAAAAAATAATAAAGTAATATTTTTTATTTATTTAAATTTGATATTTTTTGTTTATAATTTTTGTCATTCTCCTTCTTGATAATTTTTTGTCATTCTCTTTCTTGTATGTAAATATCATATTCAATTGTAAAATTTTTTTTCTCAACATAATATTTCTTTTTACAAAGGTTGACAGTCTTCCATTTAGTTCCTAACATGTTGAAATTTGTTTTATTCATCTTTCATTGATTTTTTCTCCACAAAATATAATGTGACTAAGACATTTTTTCTTGTCTTTAGTTATATCATCTTTCAACACACACATGATAGGTTTAAACTCTTTTAACTTTTGCAGTTTTTTTATCTCAGTCTTAAGCTTCTCAATTTCACAATCATTTTTTTCAAGTTCATCATTTTTGCTTGAGAACTTCATATTTGACCTTTAAAATCTCTTCGGTCTTCTCATTCTCAAGGTGCATCTGTGGTAACATTTTCTTGATGTTGGCATGATTGGTTGTTGGGATTTTCTCCTTCAAAACCTTTTTGTCTCTCTTTTGTGAATATTTCATATTCTTCTTACAAATAATTCCAAATAAGAATCCTTAATTTATTTGGGCAACTTTAGGGTTATTATTCTGATGAAAATTATTTGTGAAATATCTACATATAAACATGACTTCGTTTTTGTCTCTTTTTTTTTTTTCTTTTCTTGTGGATTTTCATTTCAGCTATAATGAGATTTTCAGCCAACGAATCAACAATGTAATCATCTTCCACAGCTTCCTATAAATTTAATCTTTCAAGATAGGATTGCATTCTCACAGATTCATGAGTCATAACTTTCGTCATCAAAACTTGGAATAACCCATAAAAACCAAATCTCTGATACCATTAATAAAAAAATTTATGATTTTATATATATTTATTTCGATATATCATATACTCAATTTATATACAGTAAAAATATGACAAAATATTAAATATTAATAATATCTCAATCATAAATATTTAAATTAAAATAATAACTTAATATCTTTTTTTTTATAAAATAATAAAATCTCATAATATTTAATTTAAATAAAAAATAATAAAATAATATTAGGGTGAGAAACAAATTTATTAAAGTATTAGTGAGTGACGTGATATATAAGTAAACATTAAATTTTACTCTATCAACCAGATTTATATAAAACCATATATAGATTATTGTGCAATACATAACCAACTATTAAATTATGTTGTCTATACAAAGCTTATAGCCAGAGAAGACAAATTGTTGGTTCTGAACAACAAATTACACCTATACAGCCCATTATTTTCATAGCTTAACAATAAACAACATATGTCATCCTTCTCTTCTTCATATTTTTCATATAAAAGAGAGACATTATATTCCAAATTTCGTCTCAAACTTCCTTCAGTTCTGCGTGTATTGTCTCAATCAAATCACATAAAGAGTAAGAAAAAAAAAAACGAAGACATGGGTTGTGGAAAATCAAAACATGATGTTGCTTCAGGAAACACTGTCACTGTCCTCCAGCTCAAGAAATCCAGCGTGAGCTACCTAGGAAATGGGGCAGAAACCAAAGACACAAACTACAACAATGTTGACAGTGTGAATTCAGAGGTGCAAGTGGATCAAGGTGAAAGTGTTAAAGAGTTTGGTGTTGGAGGTAAGAATGATGAAGTAATTAATGATGTGAAATGTGAAGGATATGAGAAAATAAATGTGCAAGAAGAAAAGGAAGCTGAGGGTGGAGAGGGAAAGACACAGAAAACTATTGCTGCAGAGGGACAATCTCAGTCTGAGAAGTCTTCAAATGATAAAGATGATTCATTGAAAAATAATGAACAAAAGATCAATGAGATTGATGATAATGTTGATGCTTTAGATGAGAGAATGCCAACAGAAAATGAAGAAGGTGATAAAAGAAGTAATCTACAGAGTTTTCTTAAAATGAAACCTGAAATTCCCTTAATCAGTAGTCATTTTTGCATAAAGTTTTCTTCCAAAATTTCAAGCACAAATCTGATTTTTTTACATCACATTGTCTTACATCCTTTGACACTTAATTTCCCTGTCTTCCCTTTTTTTTTTAGTTTCTTATTCTGTTACTTATCACACTTCTCATTTTCTTTCTTCAATCTATCTCTTCTGTCATCTCAATCCCCTTACTGAAAAATTATTACATTGTCAATAACCACCACATTTCCATAATAAGAATTAAAATTTACATAACCCATAATTAGTTTTTCAATTTACATGAACTAATTAATAGAACTTAGCTATGTCACATTATGCAGTTACTTCTCCATTGTGAGATAATGGTTCTTAAATTTTATTTTGTGTATAGAAGATGTAAGTACGAAGAAAGAAAACGACATAAAAAAGACACAAATGTTGCTAGCACTGAAGGTGAGAAGAGAAAGATTTGAAAGTTGAAGAGGTATGTGGGGTTAACAAAAATTCACATATTAAGTAATGGTAGTTGTAAGAAAGGAATTAATGGAAGCATGTTTGTGTTGCAGGGACAATAGACAATCCAACAAGCAACAAAGATGTGAAGACAATGTGTGATTATGGACAATTGAAGTTAATACGCAGAAAGTCTGAAATGATTGTTGTTTGCTTGCTAATGTTGCTAAGAAATGTTGTTATCTTTTATCCTTCATTTAATTAAATTATATTTCCCTTTCCTTCATTCTTTCAAAAGTTAACTAGTTGCAAATAATAAAACAAATATAACACTTTTCTTCTTTAAGAATATCAAAAGTGCATCAATTTAAGTTAAAATATTCTCTAACATTTAAGCATAATTAGTTATGATAATGATAATGTCTTTGAAATTATTAGGCAGAAATTGTTTTGAAAATTGATCACTCCATTCGAAAAATTAATTTGTTATTTTAAATAATCATATTTAATTAAATTGAAAAAAATTAGTAAAATTAATTGGAAATTTTAGTAGAATCCATTTTTTATAAAAAGAGTTTAAGATTTTTTTAATTTAATTTTTTATAAAAAATATAATGTATTTTATTTTTTTATTTATATCAACTTTAAATAATAGTTATTTTATTGTATTTAAATAATTATTTATCGTATAATTTTTAATTTAATTTATTTTATTTTATTGTAATTTATGATGATTATGATAATAAATTTTATTATTATTTTTTTATAAAAAAATATTATTCTTAATAAGGTTTTTATTTTTATTATATTATAAAATTTTATTTTATTAAATTTTATTATATTATAAAATATTATTTTATTAAATTTAGTTAGATTGTTAAATATTTAAATCCTAAATGCTATCTTCACTTAATTTAAAAAATATTAATAATAATTCTCATCCTTGAAACTTCAAATCCAATCCTTTTACTGTCAATATATTATTAGTTTAGGAACAAATAAAATCATACTCATAATAACAAATGAAGGCAGAAAAAATATAATATTAGAGGCAATTAGTTGTTACATTAAAAAATAAAAATAAAAGAAAGAAACTTAATATAATTAAATGGAAATAAAATATATGTATAATTAAAAGTGTTGCAACTTTCTTTATTGGTAGAAAAAATGGGACTTCAAATTAAAATTTTGTAACTACTATAAAATGGTGCATTTGTGACATAGAAAAAGAAAGAAAAGGGGAGTCTAAGTTTTTTTACTAAATGACTGTAATATTTTTTAAAATTTATTAAAATGGGCAAATTTTTAAAAGAATTATGGATTTGAGTACTTTACCCGAAGAAATCTTGTTCCCAATTACGACTTTATAGAAAAAAAATTGTATTTTCTAACACGATTTAGCACAACTTTTATATAAATTTGTATAGAAATCGTATTATCCGGTATGAATTATAATTTTATATTATAATAATTATTATAATTAATAATAATATATTTTATATTTTTAATAATAAATTAAATAATAATGATAATAATTTAATTTATATTATTATTAAAATTATTATTTATTTTTTAAATTAATATAATTATTATGTGAATTATAATTATTAATGTAATAATTATTATATTAATATTATTAAATTAATATTATTAAAATAAAATAATATAAAAATGAAAGATTATTAATAATTATATTATTATTAATAAAAATAATATTAATAATAAGATAATTCTATTAATAAATATAAGTTATTATTATTATTATTTTATTATTAATAATAATAATAATAATAATAATAAAATAATATTAATAATTATTAATTATTAATAAAATTATGTTTTTATTAAATAATAATAATAATAACAACAAATATATAAATAAGTAATAGAATTATAATTATTAAAATAATTATTTTATTTTTAATATTATTTTTATTTTATATAATTATAATTATTAATTTATTTTTGTTATTAGTAATAAAATTGAAATAATACTAGTTATTATAATTATATTACTTTTAATAATATTATTTTTATTTTATTATTAATAATACAATATTAATTTAAATAATAAATAAATAATAATTTTAATAATAATATAAATTAAATATTTATCACTATTATTTAATTTATAATTAATAGTATAAAATATATTATTATTATTAACTATAATTATTATTATAATATAAAATTAGAAATCTGTTAAATACTACGACTTTTATATAAAATTAGATAGAAGTCGTGCTAATACAACTTCTTTGATTAAAAATAAAAACCTTATAAAGTATAATTTTTTTTATAAAATCGTATTTGGTAGCATGGTGTACTTTAATTTATAATTTTTAAAAATTTTACCCGTTTTAGTAAATTTAAAAAAAAATTACACCCATTAGTAAAAAAAGCCGCTATGTAAGTGAGAAAAGAGATTAAACTACGTATCCATAATAATTGTTTAAGACGAAACAGCGTAAAAAATTGAAGAAAAATGAAAAAAATAATATAACATAATGTATTATTATGTTGTGATGCATAATTTTTTTTCCAAATATTGTTATAATAAATAAATAAAATAATATTAATAATAAATAAATAATAAAAGTCATACAAAATATTTTATTTTTATTTCTCTTCCACTAAATAATTTTTATTTTTATTATATTATTTTATCTGTTTCTCTTTTCTTTTCTACAATCGTCATTAAATGTACAAAATCTACAGATAAATAATATTTTTTTATAAAAAAATAATAAAAATAAACAAATACATGTTTGATTTATTTTTATTTTTTAGATTTAAAAAAATTAAAGATCAATTTAAAAAAAATTAAATAAGTTGAAAAAAAATATGTTTAATAGAATTAATTTCTTAAAAATTATTTTAGACAAAAAAAAATATCTAAATGATGACATAAAATAAACACGAAAGGTCAAAATGATTTTAATAATTTTACAATAATAAAAATAAATCATTTGATATAATTTATCAATAAAAATATTCATATTCATTAATAAAAATAAAAAAATTAAGATAGAAAATATATTGTATTAATTTTATTTTATTTTAATTTTAAAAAACTAAAAAACAAAAACTATTTTAATAAACAAAACAAATATTAAATAGATTTAAAAAAAAAAACTATTCTTAAAAATAATAAATAAATAAATTTATTTTTTCTCCTTCGCCCCTAAGTGATACCATGCTTAGATTGGTCTGATAGTAAGATCAAATTCACATTAAAGGCAAAAACAAGTATAAAGCTTTCAAATTTCACGTCAATGCTCTGAAAATCAAATCAAATTCACATTCACGGTCAAATCAAGAATTTATAACTTTAAATTTTCATACAGGAGCACATGTTTTCACATCAAAGGCGCCAATTGAGTGAAGCAAAGCATATATCCAAACACGTTCTCACCTATGGTCATTTTTCAAACTCAATACAAAAACTATCAAACAATTTTTACTTTACTTTTGACTCTCTTATTTTAAACTTATTTTAGAGTAACTTAAAAAGAACACTGTTACATACTTAACTTTAACATGTTTATGTTGTGTTATAATTGTGATTGACACCAACACTGACTAAATCCACAAAGTATTTAAAGTGACCGATAATGTGAGTACTATCTCCAGACAAAATGTTTTTTAAAAAAAAAAAAAAAGGCCTAATTAGACAAAGAAATGGTGATGAAATTGACCAAAAACGGTGACTCGAAGTTTAACTAAACAGGAGAAACAGTAACCGAGTAAAATTAAACTTTGGAAACCAGAATGGGTAAAAGAATTAACACCCAAATGAGGGGTTGAATTCAGTAGAATTTGAAGGTGAAATTATACAATTACGTACCGAAAGTACCAATAATTAATAATTATATATACAAGGATGATCATATATATACAAGACTTCAAGACTATACAAACTCCTTCCAGCCCTAGTCAATTTCAATAAAATTGTTCAGCTGCGTGGACTGTTCAGAGAGAAGAAATCTGATGCTCTGGAACCTATAATGATATCCAAAGCCAATTCAATCAACATACATGGGATTTTCCTGATTGTCACTCTCTCCACTCAATTTGATGAGGTGGGGTGCAGGATCTCTGGATAAGATTAAGTTTCCTTTTGAATCTTTGATGCCAGCATTCTGAACATGAGGATCCATAACAATTCTACATGAACTTGGCTCATCCGATCCCATGTCAACGCCATAATAGACCAAGTGATCAGCAATGCTATTCCCAGTGACTGACCTGCATAAGATAACCAAATCAGCATTCCATCGTAGCACCAAAATTAAGGGAAACTCTTCAATTTATTCACGCCTATACAGCATTATGACAGAGCAGATAGACTAACCTGCTGCAACTCGGATCCTCGCCAGATCCATCACAAATCTTCTCCACGCTGTACACAAGACTACCTAATCCAATGTTATAAAGCCATACCTGCAGTCCGTAACTTCTCAGGTTTTTATACAATAGGAAAACAAATGAAACAAGTGCTGTAGGTTTGCATGCCCAATTATTAATACAGACACAAAAAGTATTTCCAATATTCACAAAAATATCTAATAGCTACCGAAGATCGAACAGTAGATGGCATGGTCATAACATTCCACAAACAAGCAGGCAAACATACTTTAGTTTAAGAAAAAAGATAAATTGACAATCGTGTTTAAAAAAAAACACAAACCCAATATAATAATATAATAATGATATCTATTATTGTATTGATTATCTAACGGGTGTTTTTAACAAACTAGATTGTCAAAATATAATCACCCATAATTTAAAAGATAGCATAATAGGTTCATTATTCAAATTTCGTTATTTCATTACCTCTCTCGGGAAGTGGTGGTACGTCTTCTGCGGTAAATAATAATAGTACGGAGGCAAATGAGGTACAATATCATGGTCATTCGTGACTCGGATTGTACATGGAACTAGTTCGCTATAGAGAGATGCAAAAACAGCATTTCCAACACGAGGTTGTCCAAATGTCACAACTTGAACAGTTTTTTCATTTTTATTTACCTGTTAAAATGAAAAAAAAAAAAGTAACTATTTCATCCCCATAAAATAGGTAAATCTTAAAATGACTAATCTGAATAGGTTACTGGGGATTTAAAACCTATATATATATATATATATATATATATATATATATATATATATATATATATATATATATATATATATATATGATATCTGCATTTAAGAGCTGATTTGGTTCAATTTCCGCTTTAATATTGAATTTTGAACTAATCTGACATGCACCAGTTCCAAAATACACAAACCACATTTATCTGACGTGATGGACACACTTTACTTGTTTTTAGTTCATCAGTTGATCAATGTGTAATTAATGAAAAACATCTGCAAATAACTAATTCACGGGCAACATAAAAAAAAGCACTGAACAACCTGTTTATATAATTCCTCATCATAAATAACACAAAAATATAGAGAAAAAATAAAGGTAATTGAATGCAAATCAAAGAGTTACAACTTTGTTTATATGTGGTTTAATTCCTACCAATGAGGATTACCATTCTCAAAGAATGACATGAACAAAAAGTTGTATTAATCAGTTTGACTAATAAACTAAAATCTTCATTGAAACTGAAACAGTTAGCTTGTTTTAATCAAAAAACACCTACTAATCCATCAATCACTTAAATGATAAAAGAAAATAATTCCTTTTCATCTAAATTCTACATCTAGCAAGTAAAGTTGCCTTGTTAATACATAATAGAATTCATAGGTCAACGACCAATCTTATCCCAATAAATGATTACAATGTAATTTATCAAAATTCCAAATTTTCAGAAAAGTTCGCTTTATACAGTAAAGCCTTCATAGTTTATCCAGAAGTTTTTAGCCTTTTAAATCCTACATCTTCCATTTTATCTCCTTTTATAAATTATTATAATTATAATTAGAGTTTCTGCTGGACTTCTTCTCACATGACCAAATTAGTACTATCTAAGGAAAGTTTTTGGCATTTTTCTCCTATAAAGATACTTGCTCCATCTTTATTGATCCAGAACATAAATGAATTGACAAGTTTCTAAATTAGTTACCAGTCATAATAAAATAATTTCTAAATTATTTATCCACTACTACCCAAGCCTAGGACCAGATATACAAATTTTCTAAATTAAAAAAAAATTCAAAATATGATACTTAGACAAGAAACTCAATGTCCCTGCCAGAGGTAGAATTTAGACAATAGTTGTGAAAAAAATTGAAAGCGGTTTGAGACCACAAAACCTTGCTTTATGATGCCAAGTCATGCAAGGACAGCTAAAATTATAATTACCGTTAAATCAAGTCCACAAAATGAAGCCATTGCCCCTCCCATCGAATGCCCTGTTGCTATAATTTGAATATCTCCATAAAACTTCTTTGCCCTTACAATAGCATCTAAAATGGCAGGACGTATTGTTGTATTGTGATATGCAGTGTAAAAGCCACGGTGTACCTGGAGATGGTGATAAAAAATATATCAAAACTAACACCAACACAGAGTATTGCACAAGGCTAAGCTTTTACACACCATTGCATCATCCATGCCAGGATAATTTATATCATGCTGCTTCCAATATAAATCTTCAATCCAATTCTGCAAGCTGTATAAAAGTGGTTACAAAGAACTCAGCTCAGAGTATAACCCCAGTTGTCTCAAATGTGAGCCAAATAGCTGAAAGCCGTGGAACTATTCTCCTTCTTCATCAACATAAATTTATGGACATCATTCTTTCTCTAAACGAAAATTATTGGCTTTCTCTTAGATGAGCTATGCACTATTATATCCTCAAAGATCAACAATATAAGGGAACTTATATTCTCTTAAGAAACAAAATTCCATATTTACAATATGCTAACTTTCCCAAACATCAATATATGACTTTTATACACAACAATCTAAAATGTACCAGGTCTCAGACAAGATTGGTCATATGGATGATCTACAGTATCCCAAAACTAAAAAATGTTGCTGATCAATTTAGGGTAAGAAAAATGGCATGCCCACATGCCTACCACACATAAATATCAAAACAATATATAATACTTAACCACCTATGCTTTAATTATTGAAGACACCATTGTGCCAATAATACATTGCATGCACAGTAAATAAATTAAGTTAAATGCATTTTATTATCTAACAATCACATAAGAATCCATGTATTCATCATATCAGCATATATATGAGCATTATACAAAATTCACACACATAGGCAAAACATTCTTGTTTCTAAAACAAAACAGCATCTGTGTCTAGGCATCACATATAATATTGCACATTTATAGATCCATTTTTTAGAGGTTCCTATACAGTTATGGGACCAAAATTCCATAAAAGTAAATTTAATCTGGTAAGAAAGTCCACCTGTGTTCATTTGTTCCTCTGAATGCAATGATGATGGCATGGGGATCCTCAGCCACTCCAACAAATGCCTACAATAGGTAGTGACAATGATATAAAAACAAAGTATATTAAACAAAATTTTGGAATATTTTTTATACAATGAGAGTTCACCCACCTGTAAGCAATGCTCGACGTCAACAACTAACTCTATCATGTCAAATCCCTGTTTCCATTTTAAAGATCTTAAGACCAAATATTTTAATTGAACAGACAGATTAGTAGGAAATGTATAGTTAAAATCATTATTTCAGCACCTTGACCAAGCCATCACACCTGGTGCACGTCCAAGTAAAAAGTTCTGTTAAATCTGACAAGTATACCTACAAGAACCAAAACCTACATCAGTCCTTTATATTCATACAAAATTCTCATAGCACAGCAAACAAATTGGCTAATGCATGTAATGAAACTTCAGATTCATTGCATCGGGCAAGTGAAATTAGCTAAACTCTAAGTTATTATGATAGACTTCAATAAATTCCACTTTGACTTATTTTGACCATAGCCTGACCAAGATGGAGAGTATCTACATCAGGATCGGCATATGAGAAAGCTCCTCTAAGTTCTGCATATCAGATATATTCATTGATTTGTTTATTAGTAAAAGAGAGTGTCCCAACTTAAACCTGCCTCGAATACTTACTTGGGAATTCGAAATTTTTATAAAGAATGACAAATCCATTAGATTTATTATTAAAGCTATAATACATAATACCAGTCTAAAACCACGTGGAGAGAGATGGAGTTGAAACACGAAATTTTAATCATCAAACCAACTCCCAAAATTATGACTGACCCTCCAATTCCATGATAAGATTAGGAAAGAAGTAATACACATTAACAATTCTAAATGTTCTGCCTACACATCTTAAACATTGAGCAAATATAATTCCCATAAAAGTAAACTCACAGCAGAAGCATATTCCACTAATATTGTAGCAAGAGTGTGATTGTATTGATAATTGTGCTTTTTATGCCTAACCTTGAGCCCTGTAAATGGAAAAGGTTACATAATTGCTAGACAAACGTCAATGATCCACAAAACACACAAAACTAAACGATTAAATGAATTGAAAGATAGCAATAGTAAAAAGACACAAGATAAACAATATTGTAAACCCTATAATAACATTGACACGCGAGTAAATTCTTACCTCTACCATCAGAAAACGCAACCAAACATAAAATGGTAACCAGTATCAACCACCTGGTTTTTCCCATATACGCTGCAATTGAAGTACAGAAAAGTCAATTTCCGATAAAGAAAACGACCAATCACTTCAACATCAACGAAAATTGGAGGGGAAAATTGGGGACCCGTTCCAAGAAAACGGTAAAATTAAGGGGGAAATTGAATACTTTAATGCGTATGTGAGAAGAAAGCGGTGAACGGAAATCGGAATTGCAAACCGCAAAAGTTGCGGTGAGTTTTCTGGTGACAGGGTTTTCTCCAGCGGGAGAGATGAACGAAAAGTCAAAGAGTCATAACAAGCAAAGGGACAAAGAAAAGAGCAGTAGTAAATACGACGTCGCAAGGGCTGATTTCGTCTTTTTCGTGTCGTGCTGGAACACTCTGTTCTTACTCGGCTATTCTTAATTGTCAACATAAGGGTGGATGAGATTGGATTGGAGGACGGGGATGTTTTGGGTGAAAATTATAGTTTTTAACTGATAAGGTCATTATTAAAAATAGTAAAATTCAAATTTTATTTTGCTTTGTTTTTTCACGTATTAACAAAAAATCAATCAAATAAAGTAAAACATCTCATTTTCATCAATACATTCTTTAATTTAATTTGTTTTATTGACATTTAATACTCACATTTCATTGTCTCCTCCCTTTATTACTCTCTTTATTAGTTGTTTTAACAAACTTTACTCATTAATTAAGTAGTATTACAACGCAAACTAACTTTATGTTTAAATATTGTATATATTTAAAATATTCGAATAAATAACTAAAATTTACTATAAACCTATTCTAAAACTAACTTAAAAGGTGGATAAAAAAAATAATGGAAGAAAAGGTAGTTTTAATGCTGAATACATGATTCAAGTTTGTGGGATGAATGTCATGCATTAATCATTACAGATACCTTTAAATATAATTGAATTTAGGCATGTTCGTATTTACTCAAACTTATATATAAATGATACAATAGTCATATTTCTCTCCTATCTATGTAGAAACATTTTTTATTTTTTATTTTTTTATGTAGATTTTATATTTATATTGAATAAATTAATAAATATTTTATTTATTATTAATAAACATAAAAGCATAGCTCATGGTTGTAATATGTTTTTAAACCGATAATTAAATTGGCAAATTTTTTAAATATTAGACTAAATTTAATCATATTTAATAAAATAAATATTTTTATAATATAATAAACTTATTAATGATTTTTATGAAATTAAAAAACTAATTATACTAATTAAATTTATTATTATAATAATTATAAATTATAATAAATGTTTTAAATATAAAATAGGATAAAAAGTAAACATTAAAAACTATTAAAATAATTATTATTTAAAGTTTATGTTATGATATTTTTTATAAAAAAAATTAATAATTTTTTTTCTATAATTTTTCAATCTAACAGATTTTTTATATGATATCGTTTAATAATAAATAAATGTTATTAAAAAAAGATAAATGTTCGGTTAAATTGATAGTTGAGTCAAACTTTTAAAACACTAATTATAATAATTTTTAAAAATTTAAACCTATTTTTAAAAATAGACATGTCAAGTTTAATATTTTTAAATAAATAATTATGATTTTAATTGCTTGGAGGGACAAGTACGGAAATCAAAAATTAATATTTAGAAAGACTATAAAGAATGATTTTAAAATGTTGAAGGAAAATATAAAATACATTATTCAAGTTATCAACAATGAATAGGTAAAATATTTACATGATTTGTTAAAATATTTAGATGAGAATGTCCAAATCATTTAAATTATTTGGAAATATGAGATACATTTCATTTATACTTAATAAAATAGAAAAAAAAAGATGTTCTAAAATTCTTAGATGATTATATTTTTAATTTATAAAATATTTTGTATCTTTTTTATTGTTAATAATTTTATATTTAATCACTTATTATTTTCGTATTAGTTTAGAATTGGAAGATTGTTTTTTTCAGGTGTTCTTCTCTCACCCTTGGCATATTCAGAAATGATGAATTTGCATGTTTTACAAAATGCATGTAAATAATTATAAGGTACAATTTCTCGTTGACCAGCTAAAGTTTAGATGATGCAACAAACTTTTTTTTATTGTAGTAGTGAAATTACTTATTTACATTCCCAAAACACCAACAAACGAATGCAAATATGAGAATCATCTTGAAATACTCTATAAGAAAATTGAATAAGATAAAAAAAATATTAATAGGAGTTAAACACCTTGCACGATAAACTCAAAGAGATCATAAAAAACGGGTAAGCAAAAGAACCATGCCAAAATGAAAATCAAGCAATATTGAGTGCAAGACTAAAGGTAGAGTCGTATTAAAAAAAACTTTGAGCAACAAAAAAATTGATATAGAAAAAAAAATATAAACTAAAAAATGAAAAAAATCTTGAGCCTATCGTATCAACTCGAATATCAGAACATGTATCCTATATGAGCATTCGTTCATAACAGTAAAATATGAGTAACATCTTCTTCAAATTGGTGGTAGGCATGGCAACGGCGAGGCGGGGTGGGGGCGGGTTTTGCCTCCGTCCCGCCCCGACTTTTTAACCATCCTCGTCCCGCTCCCGATCCCCGTCGGGATTAGTAATTAAGTCTTTATCTTCGTCCTCGTTGGGTTTCGGTTCCTGCCTCGCCCGTCCCCGATTTATATTATTTTTAAAAAGATAATTATATTTATAATAAATTAATTTTACTATGTATTTTTATATATAAATAAATATTTATAATTTATAATTATTATTAATTAAATATACATTTTAATTTATTCTATTTATATTAAAATATATATGTAAAAGAAATATTTAATTATTTTTTATTTATATATATATATATATATATATCTAATATTTATAACATTATTATTATTATTATAACACTGTATTCAAATATTTGAATATTTATAACATTATTATTATAATAATGTATTCAAATATTTAATTATACATATAAGTTAATTCATTTTTAAGTTGTCAATATATAGTTTATAAGAAAATATTTAATAAGTTAATTCTTATTTAATTAGTTTGAAGTAATAAAAGTTTAAATTATTAATTTCTTTTAATCCTTTAAAATGCAATTATTTTATTAAGATAAAATTTGATATATGATAAATAAGCATAATAAGATAAAAAAATATGACATAATAAATATAAATTATAAATAAACTAATATTAGTTACTACTAAGATTGATGTAAAATATTTAGAAAAAGATAAAGAAAAAAGATTAACTTTGTGTTCATCAAATTGGTTGAAAAGATTGAAAAAAAAACAAATTGATGGGAGAGACTAAGAAAATGTGAAAAAGCTGAAAGATAAGGGAGAAAATAATATAATAAATTAATTGATATAAAAGATTGAAAAAGATAAAAAAAAATTAAGAAGTGGGTAGAAGAAAAATAAAAATCGGTGAAATATAAAAAAATAACATTCTATGTAATAGAAAAAGAAAATGAAATACTTTTAAAATATTAATATTTTGAAATTTAAATTTAAATATAAAGTCGGGGCGGAGACAGGGGCGGGGTCGGGGTGGGGATTGCATTACCCATCCCCGCCCCATGCCCGACTTTTTAAAGCGGGGAAAACTCGAACCTGACCCCGCCCCCATTCAACTCGGGTTTTTCCCGTCAAACTCGGGGCGGGGACGGGTCGGTCCCCATGGGTACGAGTTTAATTGTCATCCCTAATTAGTGGATACCTCCTAACAATGCTTACGTTAGGGTCATAAATCCCGATAAATTGATGACACATTGACCTATTCCTCCTCATTAAGAGATTTTTTCATCCTTCATCCTAGTCAACTTCTCATAATTTTCGAATAACACTATAAGTAATGACCTTGTAAAGATACTTGCAACTTGATCTAGTATATTTGGACAATGACTTCTTTAAATATATAAATTTTTCAATCACACTCAAAGGAATTACTCTCTAAGTGGTAATGTAATCTATCTAAAGGGTCAATAACTTGATTTAAAGACCTAACAAATAAACTTATAGCTTAGTTTGTCACGAGTCAACCTCATAGGCCTTACATTTGAAAGCATCGGGCAAGGAATAAATAAATCACTCTAAATTTTTTTATAAATTTTTTTCATCATTAGCCTTACAAAAAGGGATTTGGAACCAATAATTGCAATGCATACCATGATGACTAGCCTTCGAAGTGGGTCATATATAGAAATTTTGTACTTGAACAGACTAAAGGATATGGATGAAATTACAACACAAGCGTCAAATTACATATAGTTGGAAGAAAATGCCAAACTTTAGAAGAGAATAGAAGAAAAGTTTGACTAAGTAATTAACAAAAACCTCTCCACCAAGCACATAAGGAGGGTCAGGAACAACAATTACATGTCGTTAAACACCTTTAGGAAAGTCATCATCCAGAAAGCATCCAATTTGGAGTTTGTGACTCTTCCCCGACAATCATTAATACCACCCAATGCTGATAGAATAAAAAAGATGTGCATTCACCAAATTAAATCATAATATGGAATGTTGTGAATCAACGAGACATCATAAAATAACACATTCAATTTGAGAAATTAACCTAGGATGTTTATCTACATAAGAGAAATAGGTCGTAAAGGTTATCGAGAAAGAGGATGCAGTTACGGAAAACATGAATGAGGATATTATGAACAATAAAGTGACTTTGAAAATAACGAAACTCTAGTATAGTCCGCCTAACCATAAATCATCATTTAACACAAGGAGGATAGTAAATATAATTGATAGAGGGTTTACAGGGGAAAATTAACTATCTTAACAAAGAAGCAACAATTATGTGTAGTATATCATATTCAAACAACACCCCTAATATTATTTTTGGTTATTACATTTTCAAACTATAATTATGACAGATATTACCCAACTCAATACTTGTAAAAGAAAACCTAAAAGACAAAATGATGGGAGTCAATCCAACTCATTAGCCATTGTTAAAACATCATACCTACAATATACTCGATCTTCGAGTTGAGAGAATTTATATACTTATCTCACCTTAAAAATATAGACATAACATAAATAGTCGAGATATTTAAATAAGTATTTTAACATTATTTGAAATATATAAAACTATATAAGATATTCAATATATAACTAATAAAATAGAGATAAAATATTTTATGATTATCCAACTATTACACTCTTAATCTATAAAAAACTTTATATTTATTTTATTATACATGATTTTCACGGACTTAACAGATGAAATAACTTTTACAAACATTTCCCTCACCTTCAATATACTAAAAAAAAAAAACTCATTCATGATAACAATAAAAAATTAAAATATAAAATATTTAATTAAAATTATCCATATTTATAGTAAATAAAAAAAAATCGTTCGGACAATAAAATTCCAAAACAACAATATAAAAGATGCTGTCTAAAATAAATATAATTAGTTTATTTTATTTTATACCAAGAACCTGGTTTAAATATGACTTTATTTATTAGATTGAAATCAACTTGGTGACTTAGAACAAGTTAATAATAAAAATAACTATTTTATCCTGCTTAACATTTTTTACATGTCCTAGTAACAAAAATAGTTTCATATTTTATTTTCTATCTTAAATTATTAATATAATTTATATATTATTTTAGAGGAAAAAGTAATTTTTTTTAAATATTTAACTTCTTTATAATTTTCCTATTTCATCTCCGTTATATTCCTATCCTATTTCACTTATGATATATATCATTTTGTTATTTATAATCTATGTAATTGTCATTATTAGCATTGATTACTTTTTATAATGAGTCATCACTTCTTTATATTTTCGTTATTAACAATTATTATATTTCATTTTTATTATTATTTTATATTTTGATAACCACTATTAAATTATTATTATTATTATTTTTTTTTTATTTTTTTTAGTTAGAATTACGTTGTTGCATAATTATTTTTATTCTTTTCAATATATCATTGTTATAGTTAGTATAACCATACTTATTATTCATTCCATTTTAAAATCTAAAATATTTGAAATTGAATTATACATTCAAATAAATACTAATTTTTATTATTTCCAATAACTTTATTATTAACATTAAATAAATATTATTATTTTATTATTTGCCGTATCATTATCATTATAAAAACCAAATATCAGATATCATAATTACAATCACTACAAAATATAATTCAATATTTAGTATAAATCACAACAACACATTATATATCATTAATGAATTATAAGCACCAAATATCATTATGAAGATCATGATTACTACTGCTACAAAATATAATAATTCAATATTATAAATCGCAACAAATATTATATATCATTAATGTTTATTTTATCTTATATCAATACTATTATTTATGTTACATCTCATTTTAACCATAAATGAACCCTAAAAATATATTACATTCACTCTCCCAATAAATTTATCAAAAAAATAATTATTGCGAAGTAGAAATTTATTTCATTAAATATGTGAATACTAATTTAAAATATATCATGTTAAGTTTATTTTAATTTAAAATATAAGTAAATGTATCTTATTGTTCAGTTTAGGTCAAAATATTTGATTATATTTTAAGTAAATAAGTATGTATTAGTCGCTCATGTATAGAAATAAAATGGAGCAAATAATGTATGGTAATTGGATAGTTTCTTTAGTCAATTATATTGGTATTTTATGTTTTTTTAGTTACAGATATATCCCACTTTTTAATTTTGTTACAATTTTATTTTAAAATATATTTCATATTATGTATAAAAAATCCATTAATTTGTAAAATATCACTCTTTTAAATTTTATTTTGTGGTTAAAAAAGCAATAGTTTGTCACCGCCTATTTCAACAGGCTTCACAATTTGGGCCTACAATAATTGGGCCAGAGCGGCAAAATCCATTTCCATATCAATGGCGGGAAATTCCCATTTCCATTCGGTGTCGTAACCGCACATCTACTTGCTTAATCGAACGGCTACGAACTCCAAACCACCTACTTTCCCCAATCTTACAACTACACTGCAACTTCAAGCTTCGAACCCTCTTTCAATTAATCCCTCTGTCAAACCCTCGCTCTTGATTTCGGAGTCCATGGCGAGACCTTCCAGGCCTCACTCATCTTCCGACGAAGCGCTCTCCAATGCTTCGAGTTCGTCGGAGGAAAAGGAGCGGGTCAACGAACAGATAAACGAAGAGGAAGACGAGGAGGAGCTCGAGGCTGTGGCGCGCTCCGCCAGTTCCGACGACGATGATGATGAAGGTGCAGCTGGAAATCCTCCGGACTCCGACGAAGATCCCGCCGCAGCCGATGACGACCAGGTCAAATTCGCCGCTTACTTTGTTTTTGGTCGTGGTTTGTAGTTCATACTCCTTCTGCTTCATTCTAGGGTTTATACTTTGCTGCTTCTTTGCTCATGCTTTAGTTGCTTCCAATACTGTTTTGAAGTTTGTGCTTATTTGCCTCGTGCGCGTCTGTGAAATGCGGTACCACTGAAAAGCGAGAGTGACAAGAACGTGCTTGCCAATTTAACTTGTTTTTGGTCTGGCTTACATGCAATTTTTTGTTGAACGAAGAGTTTGAGGGTAAGCCTAAACATTTGTTGTCTGCCTTCAGGGTGGGGATAACGTTGATCCTGAAATTAGCAAGCGAGAGAAGGCTAGATTAAAGGAAATGCAGAAAATGAAGAAACAGAAGATCCAGGAGATACTGGATGCACAAAATGCGGCCATAGATGCCGACATGGTATGTGTAGTTCTGTGGTGGTTCAACTTCTGTCTGTAACATGGTGTACTGATATGATTGTTAATTAAATGAACCCACGTATAATGCAGAACAATAGAGGCAAGGGGCGTCTGAAGTATCTCTTGCAGCAGACTGAACTGTTTGCTCATTTTGCAAAAGGTGATCAAACTTCTCCTCAGAAATCTAGGGGAAGGTACGTTCCATGTGAACTATGCTATGACAATTTGTCCCCTCTTTTTCCTTTATCCTTGTACTGAATTTATTACCTTTGGCTTATTGATGATGACATAAAATATATATTCAAAACAAGTTTCTCAGAATTAAGATTATTCTATGGATAGTATGGATAGTGAGAGACTCACAAGATTGTAAATCGTGGAATCTAAACATGGAATGTAAAAAATCCTATTCGACTTATAAATATCATATAAATTCATATGTATGCATACAAAACATCATAAATAATAAAGAAGTAAAATCATACTTTAAATACTTAATCAAACTTAAGTCCATTATAATAAGAAAGAAAACATATCATCCAAGTCATAAAATAACTAATAAGTTACAACTCATAAGTTTTCTCAAATTGTGGATACTACTCGACTTAGAAATATACATATAAACCAACATAAATAATAATAAAATAAAATCACACTTTAAATACTTAATCAAACTCAAGTTCATTTAAACATAAGAAAGCATCTCAATCAAGTCATAAAATAACTAATAAGTCACGACTCAAGTAATAAACTTGTAAATAACAAAACATAACAACTTTAAAACCTAATCACTCAAGTGGCCTAAAAAAATACCAACCATGAAGGAAACTAGATGGCTAAGGCCTAAATCTCTAACTTCAACATAAATCTTTCAAATTAAAATCAAAAGTCAAGGGATCTTTATTGGCTTCATCTCATTTGCAAAGAGCATTAGTAAGAACATCCTCCTCCTCTAGAGGTGGCATGGCAAGATCATCATCCACTTGGTCTCCGACTTGGGCTTGAGCTTGAATCAAGTCTTCGTCATTTGAATTTGGAGTATCATGTTAACCTTCATATTCATTGCCTACTTCATCATTTTCCATAATCCACTCCTCATCGGATGAAACATCATCAAGTTCAAAATCTTCAAATGATCTTCCAACTTTCATTGTCTCACCCAATTTGGAATTAACCATGACAAAAAAAGAATTCATAGTTTTTTGTTTCAAATTATTTTTTCTCTTTGTGTAGACATAATTAATTCAAGTGCAAACACATAAGCAAATAAAGTTAGTATTTTTTTTTAATTCAAAATGTCAAAATTTTAAAATTTTACCATCTCAAATGTTCCCAATTATGCCTACATCTAGCGGAGCTGCATGTTAAATTGAGCATGCAAATGACAAACCGTTGAAGTTCTTTATGTTCATCTCCATATGACTTCCCACCAAGTTGTTGGAGCCTTCTTCCCAATTGCCTTAACAATGAAGGGATTAACAAATAACTTGTTTTGGTTCTTAAATTCTTCAAGCTGCATATCAATTATATGTTGTTCCTCTTGATCAACCACCATCTTTTGTATACATTGCAATAGACTAATTTTAACTTTTGTATCATCTTTGATAATACATGCACATTGCAATTTAAGATTTAGAAAACAGGTTGCAACGTGCTAAGGCCTATACAGCTAGCTATTCCACCTTTCATCAATAAAGTAATTCAGTTCACTCTAAAATTAGAAAAATACTTCAAATTATAACAAGTGTCTTTTCTTAACACCATTAAACTCTTTTGTATCCTCTCCTTAGCTTGATCTATTGCCTTATACACGAAACCCATTGCTGGTTCCTCTTTTGAATCAACCATTTGTAGCACTTGAATTAAAGGAAAGGTACCCTTCAAATTAATAATGACAATATTCTTCCAAAACACTTCATCCAGACCACATCCTTAATTGATTTTCCATCCTTTGTTATTTCAAAACGGCTTTCCTTCTATTCATCACTTGTAAATATTTAATTAAAGGACCCCTATTGTCATTAAGACACCCTAATGTTAAGTAAGAGGTGGCAAAACAAGTTAAGCCCAATCTCAAGACATCTCTTCTATTTGTAAAGTGATACATACGAGATGTCCTAGAATAAATGTGTACTAATTTTTCTACCTTTTGGAACCGTCTTCTGATGAATAGGTACCTTCTTCTCAAAATCTTCTAGCATCAAATCAATGTAGTGTGGTGCTTCACACAGTTCCAGTAGAGCTTCTTTCATTGCTTCATCAAAATCTCACCAGCAGTTGAATAAGCAAGTGCATTATTAGTTGCAATTTGAACAAGGTTCTCCACCAACATCTTCAACAATGTCATCCATCATCTTAAATATTTTATCGGCTATTATTCAAATGGTAGATGCATCAAAGTTGTCCTTCTTGTATATCCACTCATCAGTCGTTATGGTGAAACTTGTTTTCTTCCATGCATTCTTGTGAACTTCCAAAACACTCTATGTTGCTTGAACCACTTCCTTCAAATACTTTAAGTCAATCTCACCTATTCTGCCATATCACGATTATGTGTATGATCTAACACAGTTAATATGAACTGTGAAATGGTGGAATTGTGAAATTTCAAGAGTAATCTCGCCATTCTGTCTACATTGCTTTAAAGTTTGAAAAGGTAATTTATAATATATAATTCATGTGAACCAGGCTGCAGTGGAAGTCACAGTAATTGTAGAAGAGTAAGCTAGAGGAAGCTTCCCACCTACTACCATCTTGCTTAGATAAAGAGCCAATTCTCGTCATCCATTTATATAGGTGCCACCTTGCCTAGCATCTCTTACCGGTTGTATAGTATCATACCTTCCATTTTGAGATATAGAGCATCCACTTTCAATTTGGATCGAATAACCATTTCATGAGCCATAGCCTGTAGACAAAGGGAGTCTGTTCCAAAGGGTGGGTTGGGAAAAATCGAGGCAATGTTGAATTAGGAAAGAAATGAAAAGCTGATTTTTTTCTTTCAATTTTTGTTGTCCTTTCTTTTATGACTGTCTACTCTCATTGGCTAAGCTGACACCAGAGAGTGAGGAGCGTTACATGACTGCTAACATTCCATTTCTTATGGAAGGAGTGTTAGAAAAAGAGGCTGAGATCAAGAGGGGGGTGAATTGATCTTTGAAAGATTTTTGTAATTAACAGATTTTCTATTTCAAAAATTAATATTTAAGATCTGTTCTTGAATCACACAACAAGCAATCAAAAAATAAATGCAGCAACAGAATTAAAGAAAAGAAAGGTTTAGAAAGATATCACCAAGTTTTATACTGGTTCACCCAATCCCAGGGCTACGTCCAGTCTCCAGCCAAATTCCAGCTGGGTTCCACTAGATTGAATGTTTTACAGATTACAACCTTAACCTTACACTCAATCTACCACAAGAACCACAATTCCAGTTCCTACACCTAACCTTTCACCAAGAACCAAATTCCAGTTCTTGACAACCTCTACAACCAAATTCCAGCTGCAGAGAAACCAATGCCCACAATTCCAAACACCAACAATACATAAAAGAATGTAAAGAAACAAACAGAAGAAACTAAAACGCTCAAACCAGTTTTATGCAATTCTGCAATAAGTGTTTCTTCTCCAAAGAAATGCAATTTTGCCTCAAGAAAGAATTTTGATGAACTTCACAAAAACAAGCGTGATTCTTTCTTGAAAGTAGTGATTTTGATTGCTTGATTGATTGCAAAAAGATGTGTATCAGATCTATTTTAAAATGATCAAGCAACTGCGTTTATATAGAAGATTTTCAAAGCTGCTTGGTTTAATTAATCTGTTAAAATAATCTTATAATCTGTTAAAAGTCTTGTTTTAATCTGTTAAAACTTCTTTTAATCCATTAAAACGTTCTTGATTATTTTTCAGATTTGTTTTAACTGATACGACAACGTTTATATCAATTAAAACTCTTTGTAAAAAATCTTCTAATTTGTTTTCATCGATTGTTTCGTCTTTCAATCGATTAAAATACTGCAAGATATTCTTATAAATTTTTTGAAGTGATTTTAACTGATAAAAGATCGTATTAATCGATTAAAACGCGTAGTATAAATTTTCTTTAAGTTGATTTAATCGATTGAAACGTAATTTAATCGATTGAAATAATTTTGATCGGTCATAACTAAATTCTGATCGATCATATCTGATTCTGATCGGTCATAATCGCATTCTGATCGGTCATATAGTATACCAAATGAAATTAATCGATTAAAATGAAGTTGTATCGATTAAAATACTGCCAAAACACTTCTCTGAACATTTTAAGTGATTTTAATCAGTTATTTCAAAATTATATCGAGTTAAAAACTTGTTTATAAAAATATGAAGAACATTTTAGTTGATATAACATATGCTATTAGTTAAAATAGTTAATTCAAAAGCTTTTATCAAAATACTTTGTTTTTAACTGTTTAAACGTTTTTAGAAGCATTTTGCAAAATCTTTTAAGTGAAGAAACCTCATGCAGCAGAAAAGATAAAAATGATTATACCTAAGCAGAGCTGCAAACACACTAATCCCTCTACTCTTTTATCTAAGTGACTTTTGACAGCCACAAAGTTGCCTTTGACTTCATTCTTGACTTCATCAAATCAACAAGATCTTTGCCAGAGTATTTCAATAAGATCTTCATTACTTTCAGTCTCCCCCTATTTGATGAAGACAAATACCACTTTGAATAATAACTCTACAAAAGAAGTCACTTGATAATATAGATTAGTGAGTAACCAAAAAAGAATTAATTTCCTATTTCTCCCCCTAAATTGTTGCTCCCCCTAAATTAAAAAGTAAAGCAACTCTTTCTCCCCCTTTTGACTTCATCAAAAAATGGGGAACAGAAGAAAAACAATGCATGGTATGTATCATGTCTTAGATTTCGAAAATAGAAAAAAATGGATACGATACTTTATTCATGTAAAGACAAATCAAAGTTGATTCAATCTTATCTTCATTAACACGTTTGTAAAGATAAGGGAACCACGCTTTAGTAGCATGCTACAAGAACAACCATTAACTAAAACCTTTAATTTTTCTTTCCAGAATAAAAATCGATTAAAAACAGGACACAATCGATTAAAAATTTATTGTTAATGGTTTTAATCGATTGAAATAAAGGTTTAATCGATTAAAACAATGAAGGAATTCAAAAGTTTGAAGCATAAGTTCATTTAATCGATTAATTCGACATTTAATCGATTAAAATAGTAAGAAAAATGATGTATAAATTCTTTTAATCGATTTAAAAGATTTTTTTATTGATTAAAATAACCAATTTTGAAAACTAAGTAATGTTTGATGCATCTAAAATGCCAATTTATCATGCCTAATCCA